TATTTTTTTTTTCATTTTTTTATCGGGAGTGCTGGGCCCTTGGTCATAGTGGGCCCCTGGCCATAGTGGGCCCCTAGGCACTGGCCTAAAGTGCCTTATGGATAATACGGCACTGCTCGTCCTTCTGACTTGTTGAGCCCCATTAACCTACCCTGTCCCCGTTTTAAGACCTTACCCTACTGATGAGAGAGCGACAACGCTTATTTGTAGCCTTAAGGCCTGCAGACGAGGGGCTATCTATATTGATCCGTTATAAACAGTATTGAGTAACGAAAAGCGACGATAGCCATACGGTCAAAGTGTCGGACTGGCCAACTCGTGATCCGAGGAACGTGGGTTCGATCCCCCCACTGCCTCTAAATTATTGTGGTGAATACTGGGCCTTTCATTTCAATCAAATAGTCCTGCATACCATGTACTTAATGTTCGTATAATGCATAGCTTACTAGCTTAGTCTGTATACTTCACTGTCGCAATGGGACCTCCTGTCATGGCAGTGAAATATTGTTTAAAATAAATAAATAACTTATGCGGGCAGACTTGGCGGAGGCCTTTGCTTTGTCCAGCAGTAAGTACCTGGATGCCCTTTGGTTACAACCAACTTGATTAAGTTTGGGACTGGGTGCAGTGTAATGCAAAGTGCAATTTCCTAGGATAATTAATTATTAATGTCGTTTGGTTCTAACAGAAGCCCAAAAAGACGTAAAAGTGAGCGAATTGAAAGTGGTGCGGTGTCGCAGCGGCCTCTACCACGTGTACAACGGCCGGCTCAACTGGCACCAGGCGGCGGCCTACTGTGTGCTAAGGAAGATGAGGTCAGTGCAGGTTCGGTACTCGAAAGGGTCACATGATGAGATGAGAGCGACATTGTTGACATTATACAGGTTGACTTGTAATGTGTGAACATCTTTGTTATTAGGGATCATAGTACAGGTCATTAACAACAAAAAAACAAATAGTTCAGTCTCGGGATCAGTGCCCGGTCACATAAAATGGACAAAAGACAACATTATTTTGGTTTTGTTATAATATTTTTTTTGTGTGCAGCTTTTTTTACTCGATCTAGTAGATAAAGTTGTTTGATTGATTTTATGGCGGATATTTATGTTCCAAATCTGTTTCAGTCTAGCCAATATCGGCACAATGAGATGTTTGAAGAAACTGGGAATGGCCATGCTCAAGACTCGACCAAGTAAGAACTTATTATTTTTCTACACCTTAGGCTGGTTTTAGTGTCACGCGGACTGTCAGTGCGGATCGCTCCGCACAGCTGATCTGTATGAACTGCTAGGGAGCGAGCGGTTCCTCCGGACCGCATTACTCTAAAACGCTCCCTAGAAGTTCATACAGATTGGCCGTGCGGAGCGGGTCCGCACCGGACGGTCCGCGTGACACTAAAACCAGCCTTAGTTACTCGATAGAGGCGCCAATGGTGAGCACAAAAACACTCTTTTTATGCTGAACTGTTACTGGTTACCACCATATTTTGAACTGAATTTCCTGGCCTTGAAGTCCAAAAACAATGAAACATTTTGACTTGATCTGCCCTGTTAAGGCTCAAGTGAAATGCAGTCTAGGATACCTGCCCTTTAAGTGCCTATTCACTCTTACCTTGAACATCAAAAACGTACTATGGACCACACAGTTCCAGGTACCCATTTCGGGTCATATCGTCTCGTTCTATCGCAAAAAATCGCCATTTGATGAGAGCGAGAGAAAAAACGGAAATGGGTAGCTGAAACTGTGTTCTACAAGTACTGTGAAAAGCAGCTCTGTCACTATCACTACTCACCTGCCATGTAACACGTAACGTAGCATGTAACTCAACCAACCTTCAAGTGAGTACGGCTTGTCCACGGTCATCGCGTATCTGGCTGCGAGCACCTGAATCCTACTGCGAGCCTCCTTTGTGCTCGCAGTGATACCGCCACTCGGCGGGTCGCTGCGATCTCCCTGCGAACCACGCGCGAGCAGCTCGCAGCGGGCTCGTGTCCATGTACTCACTTGATACAGTATCTGATACATTACATGCTACACGGCTCGATGAGTATCTAGATTTTTCTTTAAAATCAAGCCTATACAACTCGCAGGTATCGAGAACGCCTGGATCGGCTCCACTGGTACCCTCGGCAAGTGGACTTGGGTGGACACAGGCGCTAGCATCTTTCAGCTGCCTCCTCACTCTGACGTGCAGGCAGAGCTGTGGCCTCCCATGAGGTAAATCAGCAAAATCAATATGTATACTTAGCCGTCTTTAATCTACTAGGGGCCCTGGGCATAATTAAGGGTCAAGGGAGGCCCTTCTCATCTGGAGAAAGATCTTTTATGAGAACAGACGGGCGCCTCTTCGATCGCGGTCGCGGGGCCCTGGGCACGTGCCCAGAGTGCCCAGTTGGGAAAGAGTGGCCTGTGTATACCCTTCTTCTTCTGTTTATGGCGATCTGTGTCCACATTTGCCCATGGTACTGAAATAAACACCGAAACGTTGATGTTTACGGTTTGAGTGAAGCCCAGTTTCTTCCACCAAGGCGGAGCGAATCAGAGATTAAGTGTTTTGAATAACCAATCAGATTACATTATTTCCACTTCTCTGCTCCGCTCCGCTTTGGTGGAAACAGGGCCTAAGTCCTACTTATTGTCAATACGTATAAAAACCTATTTGGAGAAAATTTAATGACTTTTATGCCTTTTTGGTCCCAGTTTTTTTGTAAGGCCTCTATTGGTTATTTAAGGCTCTGTTAGAGTCGGTTCTAAATGAAGATGCTTTATTTCAGGGACAGGTCATCGGTGAAGCAGAGCGGCTGCTTACAACTGGATCGGCACGCCGCTCACCCACCGGTCTTCATGGAGGCGCGGTGTGAAAGGAGGATGCAGTTCATTTGCTACCAAGGTGATCATTCCATCATCAGGTCATTTAGTCTCCACTGCAGGAGCCAGGAGCACGACCCTCTCTAATTTACCAGAGGCAAATGGAGGATTTGGCCTACACTCCCCACGTGGCAGGTTGGGGAGGTCTAATATTCGCTTATCATGCTAGTTTCTATAACTCTTATATTTTAAGAATAAAACGTATGCTTCCTTTCTTATTTTTAATTTTATTTTTCTGTTTGTTGAAGGTATCCAAGCATTAGCTTCGGTGCCAGCGACACCTAGCGACGACATCTATTATTACGTGCTAGTGAAGCAGCTGTTATACTGGCAGCATGCTTACGACAACTGCTTAAAAATGAACGGGACCCTCGCTAGTGTGGATAATAATGATATTTTGATACAACTGCTACTGATCATGGGAGAGAATAAAGATGAACGTAAGTATTTTTCAAAATTTACACCGTCGCGTTGTTTATAAATTTTACTTCTAAAAATAGCGCCATCTCTTGTCAAGTAGACAAAGTAATGAATTTGTAAGAGACCCGTAATTTTAAGCCAATTGTAATCTTGTGAAAAAAAAAACACTAATAAGCAAACATCGAAATAGGTACTTTGATATAAAAAAATATTAATTTATGATCATCATAGATGTTTCTTATTAATTTTTTACCAGCAATTCATCACATTTGGATTTCCGGTCGTCTAAACATGACGAGAGATACATCAGATGCAGTGAGTTATTCGTGGCACAATCCAAACAATGGAAAGAAGATTTACGACCCAGTACATTTCAATGATCCCGCTTTTGCTTTGTATGTAAGTATAAACCACCAAAAAGATAAAAAGTTCAGTCATTTTTGGCTAATGTGAAGAAAACCATGGTTTCAGTCCGACATTTAAAATAATATTTTCCGCCAGATGTCACTAGTGTTACTTAAATAAAATGTTTCATCTACTCCGCGCTAGATGTCATTAGTATGCTATTTGATACATTTTAGTGTGGTGCTTTAATAATAGATGTCGCTTTTAGTAAAAAGAAATTTCAGTTAGCAACCACTAGATGTCACCACTATAAATTTTAGTACTAGTATTCATTACAAGATGTCGCTATTACGTAGTTCTGATAAATTGGTGTTTTCTACCAGATGCCTCCATGGCTAGATGAAGAGTTCTCCATGGATAATCCCTGCCTAAACCTGGATAGGCAGGACCATCTCAATGGCTTGGTGTATGGGCTGCCTTGTGACACGCCGCAGTATTCCATTTGTATGATTGGTAAGATTTACTCCCATTGTAAAAGAAAACCTATGGGGCAGTTGATGTTTTGTCTCTAAAATTCTTTCTCTCTCATTTAAATTGGAACCAGTTAGCAAGCAACACATTTAACAAGCTATTTTTGTTAATATTTTTTTACTAAATAACAAAAGATACATTATAACTCTTGTAGGTATTGTTCATTGCATCTGGTATTCATAATGCTCTTCACACTACAACTTGTCCTTGCCGGGATTCGAACCTGCAACTTCAGTTGGCATTCTAATAGTTATTAGCAAGCCTAATGTAGGTCCATGGGTCATAATTATTTTGTTTCAATTACAGAAAAATCAATCAAATCTTCAATGATGGAGAATGCCACCGATGGATATGAAACCTCAAAATGAAGATAATTATAAAGTATACATGAAGAATTTAGACAATAAAACTGTAATTTGTAATAATGTAGTTTTTATTACACATTAATTAACAAGTTCTATTTGTAAGAAACACAAAAATAGTTTATTTGGTTTATCAGAACTAGTGAATCAAAATACATAAAGAACCAAAATAAGTGAATATTTTTTCTTTCTTTCAAAAGCTATCACTCAGTGGAGCAATGATATCATGTAATGAACTGAACAATACAATGTGCATGTGCAATTTTTTTTACTTCACCGCAATACTTTGACATATTTTAGACCTCAATATTTATTAAGATTGAAGCAAGGATCACTCAATCCACATGACATGCATAGTATAAAAATATGAACTTACTGTGATTTTAAATAAAAATAATTGTTAAAATTACACTATTTCAGTAACTCAAAATTAAGTAAAATACTTGGAGAAAAAACTACCTATTGTCAGTAACCGCATGGCACAAATTTTAAGTAAACTAGGATGGTTCAGTACCCAAAACATATTTACATGTACTTAACATCACAGTAACTTATTTACCACACTTATTTACTATTCAACATATCAATCCACTGGGTGTTGACTTTGTTGAGCTCTTTAGAATTTCTGTTCATTGTTAGTAAATTCTTCTTGAATAATCTGAGGTGTTCTAGATACGTCCGTAAGCTGGAGTTGAGCTCTCGCACGGCTTCTATTTCCATCGTCAGCTCTGAAGTCTTCAACTGAAGAACATAAAAAAGTTGGTTATCATTGAGACAAATTAATTATTAAACTTACTTGTTACAATCCCTATGATAGGAAGTGTAGTTAAGGATGCCACTTGTGGTCTAAACTGAATAAATATTTTTGATTTTGATTTTGATTTTGATTTTGATGCTAGGATGCTGCATTATATGAATAAACTTCGAAGATGAGTTACGTATGCTCGTAAACAGTAAATGCTCACTGCTTGTTTATGTTTTTTAATTATAGCAATACTTTACCCACCTCTCGTTTACTCGAAGTAACTGATACACTAGACATGATGATAATTTGATAAGTTGGTAGCTTAAATCGTTTTATTTATTTGTAAAAAGTAGCGGAGAGCATTGATTTGTAGTTTTGTAGTATCCAGAATTCCAAAACCCAAACACAACAAACAAAACGGCTTTTTTTCGTACGATCTTTTGAAGTTTTACTTTTTTTGGCGGTTTATTCAGTGCTGCCACATCGAGTGGTTTAATTTAGATTATTCATTAAAAGTGAGATCTTGTGCGACGACACGTGAGCGTGTGTTTCATAAAAGTCTTATCGGTAAAATAATGTATATACTATGTATTTGTCTACAATACTAAGAAATACTTATTAAAATCATTTATTGAAAAGATTTTTATGGTAAGTATTCTCCCAAAATTTTCCATTTTTTGTGTTATGGCAACACTTAAAAATCTTTTCATTCAGAATTTGTTCGATAATAATTGGGTAATTAATTAAAGGTAAAAATGGTGTTTACATGTAATCGTAATTTATTCAGCTAATTCAGATGAGAAATTAAAGTTTCATCACTGAAAACCGCAAATTATTAAATTTTTAAAGAAATAGAATCAAAAAGTGGAAAAAGTATGGTTTTGAAGATTTGTAAACCGACTTCTATCCTAGAAACTTTAATGCACGATTTGATTATTTTGTTAAAACGGCTAATTAATTACACATCAATTAACTAGCGAATTTGTTAAAATTTAACCTAAAGCGAAAAGCATGGATTTATTGACTTTTACGTGAAAGTGCCTACTTTCCAAACGCATGCGCGCGAATCAACCAGCGCCATCTGAAGAAAAAATGGCGAAATAGAAAAGAAACGCCGCCATTTTGACATTTGTTTGGCTTTTGTGTTCCACAATAAAGATTTTCATGTAATTAAACAATCAGAGCTAATTGTATTGTGATTTTCGCAAATGAATAGTCATATTATCGTGCCGGGTGGATAAAAACGCCCGGATCGGTGATAATCGCTGTTGTTATGCGGCGCATAAATCAATAAATGGTTGGTGCCGCTTTTTTATTTTTGCGATTCTAATTTAGTGATTATTTTGGTGATTGAACATCTGTTAGAGTGGTAAATAGTGAGAATATTGTTTTAAGTGTATTTTGGACACGTTTTTGATGCAATTTCACCTTGAGATTTGATAAAAACTTGCTTGTAAAAAAGGCGCGAAGAGTTGCCGCTCTCTGTAGCGACGAAAGGAGTGAATTTGTAAAGCAACAAAATGTTTGTTTGAAACAAAGGGAGTGCGGTCGAGTCGTATCCCCGGCGTATCGGGTGTTATGTGTTTTAAGCTATTACTGAAAACCACTTATGTATGTAAAAAGGAAAAACTTTCTATCAACCTATTGAGTTCATGTAAGTTACCATTAGATAATTTGGTTATACAATGCATGTTTATCCCAACCATCTAAATCACAAATTATGTTGAGTAACCGGTGAAACTGTAAAATAATTCCAGGTTAAGAATTCTTCTGAACTTGCAATGCGGTTAAGAAGTAGAAAGAGGGAGCGACCGCTCTCCGGCAAGAGAACTTCTCAGAAGGTGACCAAATTCAAGAAGAAACCGCTGAACAAGACTTTGCTGAAGCCCAGTCCGGTGTGGACGAAGATTTTGAAGCCGGACCCGGCCAAAAATGGCCTGTCCACTTCGTTCTGCATCACACGTTCCCAAAATTTGAAAACAAGACCAGTTAGAACTAGACTAGTGAAAAGCATGGAGAAGTCTGTTGATACATCGCACAAAAACAAATTAAAGCACAAAGAAAGCGCAAAGAAGCCGATCTTCCAGACTGTTGTCCGTAACACCAACAAGGACAATGTAACGTCATCAACTAACGTCAAGTCCAAAGTGACCCAGAATGACAAAGTCTCTACAACTTCTAAAACTAAAGAGATCCGTACAACAAAGAGTGTGCAGCTTCGCCACAGCTCTTTAAACCGTGAGCTTCGTAAGACGGAAGTAGCAACTGCTATGAACTCCCCACGTAAGACAAGGCGCATGGATAAGCCAGACAAATCGGCTTCATTGAACAGCTCTCCAATACGTAAAGTCCGTCAAATGGGTGTTCCATCTCCAAAAGTGACTAAAGTCAGCTCTACGAACGAAAGCCCCAAAAAGAAAGGCAAAGCAAAGGCAGCTGTGGTTCCAGAAAACGGGAATTGGTCTGAAGACAACGATGTGACCATGTACGAAGCTCACACTACAACGTTTGTTGATTTCCCAACTCCAAAATCTGAGGAATCTGACTCTGATGCTCTAGTGGAGTCTTCAGATCTGTGTCTTCCTAACGACTGTCTCAATGATTTCATAGCTATAGCAGAATGTGCTCGGTTGATGAACGAAAATTTGGGGACGGAAGATGAGGTAAATTTTTTAGCGGACAAAGCAGCTAGGGTCATGACTACAGAGAAAGAGGACCCGAAAAAGACTTCAAGGAAGAACTCAGTAGAGAAACGTGTGATCAAGCGTAGGAAGTCGAGCAATGACTTGGAGATGTATCAGCCAACATCAACTACTGATGATCTAGATTCTTGTTCGGACTTCTTGACTAATGGAGAAAAATATGTGCAGGTAATTTATAGCATCATATTTTTTATGTAGCCCATAAATTGGGCAAAATCAAGTCAAATTAGATTGTTCCACAAATCAAAAAATTATTTTGGGCAACTTGATGCTATGAATAGTTTTGTATTCAGTCCAATTTGTTTTTTTTTTCTCAACAAAGAAGCTTAAAAAAGTACTAAAAAAGGAAGTTAACAGCTTCCAAGTTAATCTACTTTTTTATCTGGGATCAGCCACTGGCTTCAATCATTACTTTGAATTTTTCTAAAACCATTTTTACCCCTTAGGCTGGTTTTAGTGTCACGCGGACCGTCCGGTCCGGTGCGATCCGCACTGACAGTCCGCGTGACACTAAAACCAGCCTTACAGCTAAACTTCATAACTATGCTTGAAAAGAAACCATTTTTAATTAGAATTTCAGTAAAAAAGTCATCTATTCCAAGGTATTATTGGTCTAAAATATTTAGTATTTTTTTTAAACGTAAAATTGAATTTCATTTACTGAAACCATTTTTACCTTGCAGCCAGACTTCGTAACCATGCTCGAGCAAGACGGCTACGTCCGTTCCTCTGAGTGTGAGATATCTTCCACCTGCGACACTCAAGGCACGGCCATCGAAAGTTTAGAGGCCCTGTCTGCTCGGAGCCCCAGTTCGGGCTTTCTGGCTGAGATTAGCCAGAGTCTGGCTGCTACCACTGGAGGTTGGGTCGAGGTAACGTAGTACATATTTTGTATTCTGCAACAATAATCGGTGATCAAGTCAGAAATGAGGAGATCCGTAAACGAACTAGTCACTGACATAGCCTGACAGATTAGCAAGCTGAAGTGGCAATGGGCAGGGCACATAGTACGCAGAACTGACGGCCGATGGAGCAGCAAGGTTCTGGAGTGGAGGCCACGTACCGGAAAACAGCGTGGGACGTCAACCCACAAGGTGGACTGACGACCTGATAAAGGTAGCAGGAAGGCGCTGGATGCAGGCCGCTACCAACCGTGTGGTGTGGAAGTCATTGGGGGAGGCCTATGTTCAGCTGTGGACGTCCTGTGGCTGAAATGATGATGATGAATCGGAGGCCCCCCACTAGATGGACTGACGGCTGCGACACTCAGGGCACGGCCACTGAGAGTTTGGAAGCCCTAGTTCTGGATTCCTGGCAGAGATTAAACTTTGATTTGAAATGTTTTCAGAATGGATCGGACATCGCAGCAGACGAGTCTTCGCTGGCGTGCCACGACGAGCAGCCGCCTTCTGATATTGAGGTATATATTTAGTTCTAATAGATGATGAAATCATTGGCTCTTCATTTTTTTTAATATTTTATGTGTCCATTAGCAAGTGCCAGTTGTAAAGCATCGTGTTGTATATTCGGACCTATAAAGTGTCTAGATCTCCGTTTCAGCCAAATGACGTCCACTGGACAAAGGCCTCCCTCAAAGCTTTCCATAAAGACCGGTCCTGCGCCGCCCGCATCCAGGTTCTTCCCGCGACCTTCACCAGATCGTCGGTCCACCTAAGGCCTGCCCACGCTGCGTCATCCTGTTCGTGGTTGCCAAAAGTTTTCTAAGGGCCTAGATACTAAAGCACGGTCTGTGAGCACGTAGAATTTTGTCCAACGACCCCAAGCTACCCATCCTTATCGCTCGCGCGTAATTATGTTGCTGTCGCGACTGTGCGACGGCGCCCGCAGTGAGTGTGCGAGCGCGACAGCAACATAATTACGCGCGAGCGATAAGGATGGGCAGCTTGGGGTCATTGGACAAAATTCTTCGTGCTCACGGACCAGACTACAGTAGTAACTTTTATCTAACTTGATGAAAAACTTGATATTTCTCTAATAATTAATAAGCTAACTTTTTAACTAAGAATTTTTGTGTTAAGACCCTAAAGTTTTACATCTGAATAGGGATGATGACTGGGTAATAAAATCGAAATTCTATTTAGTTGGTCAGACAGATAATAAAAAAATTTTGGACACATATTTTTTAATTCTTTTCATAATCGAATAGTTACAGAATTATATTGAGTTCATGAGTTGAAATGTCGCGTGACCTCACTTTTGAGTAAAAAATCTACTCAAGCATGCCGTAACGCGCCATTTCAACTCGATGTAGCACTGTTATTATTTAATTATGAAAGAAAATAAAAATATGAGTAATATTTATTTTCTAATTATCTGTTTGACGGACAAATAAAATTGAAATTTTGTCATCTAGCCTATTGTCAAAAAAATATTGCTGTCTGGTCTGGTCAGTGTGGATGATGTAGGCCAAATCCTCTATATGCCTTTGGTACATTGAGTGGGTCGTGCTCCTACTTGATGATGAGTACCGTGTCCCATTGTTCCCAGGAGTCGTCGGGCGACGTTATGTCTATGTGCAGCGGGCGCGTGGCGTGCGAGCAGATCTCCTCGTGGGTGGACGCATTCGATCCCTACCTGTTCATCAAGCAGGTCAGTAGCTTCTGTCCGCAAAGATGAAATATATACTTTTGTTTATTTATTCCATTTTTATTAGTGTGAAGCCATGTATAGATGACCCACGCTGAACTGTCCCACCAAACTCAATGACAGGGGGGCGCTACCATCGTTCAACTATATGGTTTCCGACATGACAAAAATCTGAACCAGCGATCCGGTATTGACGGTGGCGCCCCACTGTCAATGTCATCGACAGGACAGTCCAGTATTTTAGAACTTTATTTGTCAACGTGAAATTGTGAACTCTGTCAGTTTATAATAAAACGCGTTAGATTGTAAACTAACCGCTGGTTCAGATTTTTGTCATGTCGGAAACCATATAGTTGGACGATGGTAGCGCCCCCCTGTCATTGAGTTTGGTGGGACAGTTCAGCGTGGGTAGGTTAGGTTAGATTGTAATTTAACTACGTCAGATTATAATCTGACGGAATTCCTAATTTTACGGTGACATATTCATTACGCAACATTTGTTGATAAACTCTGTATAGCCTGACCAGGAACATAAAAACCCTCGCCATGTTGCGGAAAACTAATGGTACTAATTTCTTTTAATGGCAACAGTAACTGAAAACTTCATTGACATGTCACCTTGCATGTCAGTCTATTGCTGTCAAAGTGTAAACAAACTTTATTTTAAATGTGCGCAATTGATTTTGTGAATTAAATTGCTAAAATCTTTTTATAGTCGTGAAAGAAAAGTGGTTCACAATGTGTTAAANTTCGGACAATATTTTCATTGAATAATGTTTCCGACAAAGATTGTCAAATTGACTGACATGTTTATCGTATATACAGTCCACTATGAAAATTAGTTGTGGTTTGTTTCAAATACCTATTTTAAAGTTTTTTGTCACTTTCTAAGTGTTGAATTTTATGGAATTGGGAAAGAAGTACCGAGTTTGAAGCGTTCATGAGCAGACACTACAGTTGAATATTCAAGTTCTGAATTTGATTATTGATGAATAATAAAATAAATCCTACTAACTCGATTGATGGTTTCATTTAGGTACGACTGTACTCAGTGTTGCACTATCAAATGCAATTGACGCGCCTCTATGCCAGGGTTTTTATGTTCCTGGTCAGGCTATAAACAGTTAATTGGCTCTGTGCACGATTACAGCGCCAACTAGCGTCCATAACTTTGTGGGCTCTGTCACATTGACATTTAGGTCGTTTATTTGTGAAAAAATATCGAAATGAAAAAATAACAAATATTTTCGACTAATAAATTGTTGTGATACCACGATTTGGGTGGAAAAAAGGTTTTGAAATCATTTTGGTCATTCAAATCAAATGAGGTAAGTCCGAAAAGTGTGTTTGATTTTGATTGTGTCAGAGTTTGTTTACTTCATTTATAGTTGTAGTTTTACAGTAAAACAAAAAGAAAAAGCTACTTTAACGGTTTCATTATATTACAGTAAATACATTTAAATGTTCCTGTATTGCTAGTAATAAATTAAATATCGTTTTCAGATCGAAATGAGTATTGTTTTGAAGACCGGGTTTGTGAGTGTTACAATATCAAATTCCAACCACAAACCGTATTTAAAGGAAAGTTGTTGGTATTGGCTGGACAAGTCCGAGATGTAGAAGAATTAAGAACAAAACAAGGGCAGAGTTCAATAATTCACGCTCTCATCATAAGGCAAACATCTGTGCACAACAACTACTGTGACTCATTTTTGTACTACCACGTTGTATAGTCTAGTTATTTCCAAATTGTAAACGGCTATTAAACCAGCCCTATCGAAATACAGTTCACTCTTTTATTGAAGTACATAGTAGGACCCTTTTCATGCGATTAATTAATGATATTGAAATGTATTATGTAGAATCGCTTTGCCATTGACAGATACATCTAATGACAGAGCTTACATTATTTCTACTTTTGACCACCATGAGCGCTGCGATAGATTATGTTACCCCCACCTAGTAGGTACTTCGCACCCAGCGAATAAACAGTCCATAAACATAGGTGATGAAACATTGTTTATGATACATGTTGCCGTGCTCCCCGCTATGAGTGGAGAGCAAGTGTGGATTGCCAAGTTTCAGAAACTTGTGTTTATGGTATAAACTTGTTCCGCACTAGTCATAAACAGTTTATCAACAAATGTTGCCTAATGAATACATGACTTTATACAGGATAATGCAGGATATGATAAAAAGATTATTTAAAATGTTATGTCTTCCAATTACCCTATGATTCTAAAAAAAGGAATTAATAATTTTAATTAAATATGTTGAATTGGGTTCTATATTGGCTCACATAAAATACTAAATCCTATTCTTTGTCTTACTACCGATTTGTGTTCATAATAATCTCTCTTCATAATTTTATTTTTCATACTTTTTTTATTCATACATTTTTATTACTACCATCGGAGCTCATAACAGTTAGTAATCATAATTTTTTTATCAATACTGTTACTACCAAGAACCATTTAAAATACATAATTTTTATTTTCAGATCTTTTTTCTTCATAACATTCATTGATCATATTGTTTTAATTAATAATGTTGTTACTAAGAACATTCTTCAACTCATAATGTTGTTGTTCAGAATAATTTACTTTATAACCGACATACTGGTATCTTTAAAAAAATCATATATAATTTAATAAAGTAGATAAGCATGCAGAGAATGCAGCATGAAAGCAAGCATGCAGCATGCATTGGTATCTCCTCGTCTCCGGCGCTGCGGAATGTGCAGCCCTTCCGCCCTTGCGTAACGAGGCTCAGGCACCTACGCTTGCTCACCCGGGCGCCTGAGCCTCGTTACAGCGGGCGAGGGCTGCCCTCCCTCCGCGCCTCCGGCTTTTAAATTACACTCTAGGGGTAGGGCAGACAAGACTACGTGGAGTCGGTTTTGCAGCGATTCGTTTCTGTCACGTTAGTTTTGTGGCACAAAATATTGCCTGTTTTGGACCATTTCAAATTAATTTAATGTTAAAATACGATTTAATACGAATATAGACATCATGATTTTCAATAATATGGATAAATACACTTATGAGTAATAAATTTATGAAAACAAATATTAGGATACATCACATTTATGAATATTATAGTTATTTATTCGAATGATTATGAGTTTCGATCATTAGTATAGAAAAATATATGAAAACAAATATTAGTAAAAACTAAGTGTATGATTAGTGATATTATGAATATAAATGATTATGTTTTTAAATATGTAGGTTTTAAATTTTTTATGAAGAATGATCATTATGGTATCAAATTGTATGAGAAATATTTTCGGACCTCCAATGATAGGAATTGAAAAGTTATGTAAGAAAATGCGCTACCGTTGAATTGTCATTACTTATTTATGTTTTACTTGAATTCAGAGAAAATTAATTCAATCGCTGTACAAACGGGCGGCAAAATGCTCCCCACTCGCCCACTGGTGTTACGCAAAAAGACGCGCCCACTCTAGAAACTAGGATTATGGAACTATATACTGGTCATCACAAAAATCGGCCCACCTACGTTTTACAGGAAAACTCGTTTCTACTGTCACAATCATAGTGCCCCAACAATATTGGTGTTATTTGAAAGCCCAATAAATTTCCTTAAAGAAAAACACATTTCATTTCTTAATAAACGATTAACATAAACGCGATATACAATTAATGTGATTTGAAAAAAGACCTCACTTTGGGCTCACCTCTGGGATTAGACCAATTTTTATGGTTATAAAACCAAATAATGATCTCACGTGTCCCTTTTTAACATAGTGGATAGCGATTAATCCCAACTTAACAGTTTTATAGTCATAAAAGTTGGCTCAAGCGTAACTACCTATTTTTTGAAAAAGTGACTCTGGATTCTTCTACAGACACATTTTTGGGGTAAAAACCTTTCCTTTACTGAAATGAAGTTTACAACTAGGCTTTTAAATGGTACCAATATTGGTGGGAAGTGGGGATGCATACATTTGAAAGTGCTTGTCGCGGGAGGGTCGATTTTTGTGATGACCAGTGTATTCTGTACCATCTAAGCAATTAAATAATTTTTTATTTATTTATTTTCACCAACTTAAACTATCTTTACAGGTCAATAACCTAATACGATAGAATAAATTATTTTGTAGGCAGGTACACTGTATCTACTTGCACTAACGGCTTGTAACTAACTTATTTTTGTTCCCTTAGCTCCCGCCATTAGAGTCAGTGGCGACCGGCGCATTACGCGCGCGCTGCCCTGCGCTTCCACTCAAGACTCGCACCAGCCCAGACTTTAGTCTCGTGAGTACACAGACACACACATTGACAAAGAAAATCATAATGACTGGATGGGAATTTTTTCCAAGAAATACCAGGGTTACTCATTTGGGTGTGATTCGTTGGGAACAAGCGGTTCCTACGCTTACCATATCCCACTTATATGTTGTCATTGACCATACGGCACGGCGGACTACCCGTAGTTTATAATTATTAGATACACTAAAAACAATATTATTTATTCTACACTCCGCCACAAGAGTGGCGTTGTCAGTAGCCTTCATTAAATCTTCCTGCGTGCAGTTGTTTGGGCACGCAGGGCACGCCATCATGTGCTTCGTCGACTGGAGAAAACATCCACACTTGCATTCCAAAGAACCGTCTACTGAGAATTCCCACCTGAACAGATTGTTTGGGTAGTAGTAGTAAGTAGGGTGTCAGCAACCTCCATATCACATTTCATCAACATCTGTCTAGCCATTCTCGAGTTATAAATGTTCAAACAACCTGACTTTTTATAAGAGATAAAGGAATTTACACCCGCATTCACAAACATTACTTGACAGACTTAATCAACAATCTGACGTGATTTCTTTTCACAGGTTCTCGACTTGGACGAGACATTGGTGCACTGTTCGCTGCAAGAGCTTCCGGACGCCAGTTTCCATTTCCCAGTGCTGTTCCAAGACTGCAGATACACGGTGAGAACCCTATAGTTCTTCTCACACCAGTTAGTAGGGAATTTAGTGCAATGATTTGTATGGAGACCCCTCCACTTTAATATAGAAGGCTCATTTTTGCAACAGTGGTTCTTTAGGTGCTCCTGAGTGGATTTCCGTCGGTAGACATCGGGAGCCAAGTTTCCTTCTGCCGCGCTTCACTTTAAGGCCCATATCTTCAAAACTATGGGTATTAGGGCAAGTGTGGTATCATTTTCGGATAGTTAAAAGATGACGAATTCATTTCTAGAACACACTTTTTGCCTTTTCATACAAAAAAATAGAAATATTGAGCAAAATTCCCAAAAACCAAAAAGTATTTTTTTAAATAAACTTCGTTTACTTTTAAACCACTGGAGATAATCTAATAAAAAAAAATGTCCTGAAAGCTACATTTATCAGGATTATAAATATATACCATTGTATGGTACTTTTTTCGCAAAAAGCATGTGAAATAATTTTTTTCTTCAGGACACAGCGGACGAATTTTACTGCGCATCGGAAAAAAAATATTTCCATTAATTCATACTATTTGGTTCATAAGCAAGTAAGGATTATTATTTTAGAATTTATATAGAGTTGCTGGCACATCAAGCTACCATGATCCATTCATTGCAAGTGCAGTTTGAGCCATAAACTTATATTTGATTGTTTACCCACAGGTATTCGTCCGCACCCGGCCCCACTTCGCCGAGTTTCTGTCGCGCGTCTCACGCTTGTACGAGGTCATCCTGTTCACCGCCAGCAAGCGAGTGTACGCGGACCGCCTGCTGAACTTGCTGGACCCTGCGAGACGATGGATCAAGTACAGGTACTTACAGAGCCACTAGATAGCCACCACATGGCCACTAGATAGCCACCACACATGGCCACTAGATAGCCACCACACATGGCCACTAGATAGCCACCACATGGCCACTAGATAGCCACCACATGGCCACTAGATAGCCACCACATGGCCACTAGATAGCCCCACTCCGAGTTTCTGTCGCGCGTCTCACGCTTGTACGAGGTCATCCTGTTCACCGCCAGCAAGCGAGTGTACGCGGACCGCCTGCTGAACTTGCTGGACCCTGCGAGACGATGGATCAAGTACAGGTATAAAGTCTGATTCTTTAGAAATTTCCATAGATGTAAACAAACACTTGTGCACACAATTATAGCCTGACCAGGAACATAAAAACCCTGGCATAGAGGCGCGTCAATTGCATTTGATAGTGCAACACTGAGTACAGTCGTACCTGTGTTAAATTAATAGGCTAACTTTATGTATCAGGATTCAGGATTAGTACGGGCTGATTTGATATTTTCATAAATTAACGAAAAAATATTATTATAGGTAACCTGGTTTAAATAAATTAAATGAAACCATCAATCAAGCTAGTAGGATTTATTTTATTACTAGCTTTCCGCCCGCGGCTTCGCCCGCGTGGAATTTTGTCTGTCACAGAAAAACTTTATCGCGCGCGTCCCTGTTTCAAAAACCGGGATAAAAACTATCCTATGTTCTTTCCCGGGACTCAAACTATCTCTATGCCAAATTTCATCAAAATCGGTTGCGAGGTTTAAGCGGGAAAGCGTAACAGACAGACAGACAGACAGACAGACAGACAGACAGACAGACAGACAGAGTTACTTTCGCATTTATAATATTAGTTGGGATTCATCAATAATCAAATTCAGAACTTGAATATTCAACTGCAATGTTTGCTCATAAACGCTTCAAACTCGGTACTTCTTTCCCAATTCCATAAAATTCAACACTTAGAAAGTGACAAACATTTTTAAAATAGGTACATAGTTGAAACAAACCACAGCTAATTTTCATAGTGGACTGTACTATGCGATAAACATGTCAGTCAATTTGACAACCTTTGTCGGAAACATTATTCAATGAAAATATTGCCCGAACCCTTAGTATTTCTCTTCGACAAATACTTTAACACATTGTGAACCACTTTTCTTTCACGACTATAAAAAGATTTTAGCAATTTAATTCACAAAATCAATTTCGCACATTTAAAATAAAGTTTGTTTACACTTTGACAGCAATAGACTGACATGCAAGGTGACATGTCAATGAAGTTTACAGTTACTGTTGCCATTAAAAGAAATTAGTACCATTAGTTTTCCGCAACATGGCGAGGGTTTTTATGTTCCTGGTCGGGCTATACACTATAATCACTTACGTTTTCTTAATATAATACACATTATTTCACAAGCTCATGAAACCAACTCTATTCTCACGCAAATATGAAATCTAACATTAAAAACAAATTATTTTAACAAAATATTTGGGTGATGAAAATTTGTGCTACATGTTAAAATGTCAAATCCACATTTGACGTTTAAATTTAGGTGCTATCTCTGGAAAATCAGTGTTATAACCTGTAAGTCATAGACAATAATCATGGATAATAATAACCTGTAAAGAAGAACGGTCATCTGTGACCCAGGCCCGACAGAAACGAGACATACGTAATTTTTTTGTCATGTCTTAATTAGTTAAATTGCACATTTTTTATATTCGAAATCTATGTTTAACATCAAAATATTGCCCTTTGTTTTTGTTCAGGCGTTACACATAAACTGTCCGAAATTAATCAGAGTACATATTAGGGTTCTGTATCTTCCATATTGTTGCAGGCTGTTCCGCGAGCACTGTCTCCTGGTCAACGGTAATTACGTGAAGGACCTGAGCATCCTGGGACGAGACCTGCGCAAGACCGTCATCGTGGACAACAGCCCGCAGGTAAATAAAATCTTTTGATTCTAACGATTATTTATGACAAGAGTGCGTGGACTTTACCTGCCTAGTTGTTACGTGTCATGTAAGCTAAAAAATACTGTATTGAAATAAAAAACCTTAAATATTTATTCAGTTTAGACCACAAGTGGCGCTTATGAACGTCAAAAAATAGTAAATAATAAAAAAGAAAAGGGAGCCCTTATTGGGCACTTTACATGTCTCTTTATCTTTTAGGCCCTTCCAGCGCTTCGAGACAAACATGGCAAGTGCTGAGAAGAAACGCCGGAACAAGCTAAAAAACAAGCTTCACTCAGAATCCTCAAATACAGATGAACTGGCGATTTATGACAGTGCAGGGATTTTTGTGCTGAGCGAAATAGTTGTGGTTTCTGAATCGTTCGTAGGTTTTAGCAAATAACGTCCACTGCTGAAAAAGTCCTCCAAGGTTTTCCACAATGCTTGGTCCTGCATCCAGGCTCTTCCTGCGACCGTTACCAGATCGTCGGTCCACCTAGTAGGAAGCCCGCCCACACTACGTCTTCCAGACGTATTAACATAAAGTTCTAACGTCATGTATGTTTTTTCCCAGGCGTTTGGCTACCAGCTCGAAAACGGCATCCCGATAGACAGCTGGTTCGTGGACCGCAGTGACAACGAGCTGCTCAAGCTGCTGCCCTTCCTGGAGCACCTCGCCACGGTCAGTACTCATCACCAGCTCATCACCACGCCAGCTGGCTAGCTCATCACCACGCCAGCTGGCTAGCTCATCACCACGCCAGCTGGCTAGCTCATGACCACGCCAGCTGGCTAGCTCATCACCACGCCAGCTGGCTAGCTCATCACCACGCCAGCTGGCTAGCTCATCACCACGCCAGCTGGCTAGCTCATGACCACGCCAGCTGGCTAGCTCATCACCACGCCAGCTGGCTAGCTCATCACCACGCCAGCTGGCTAGCTCATCACCACGCCAGCTGGCTAGCTCATCACCACGCCAGCTGGCTAGCTCATGACCACGCCAGCTGGCTAGCTCATCACCACGCCAGCTGGCTAGCTCATGACCACGCCAGCTGGCTAGCTCATCACCACGCCAGCTGGCTAGCTCATCACCACGCCAGCTGGCTAGCTCATCACCGCGCCAGCTGGCTAGCTCATCTCCGCGCCAGCTGGCTAGCTCATCACCGCGCCAGCTGGCTAGCTCATCACCTCCCAGCTGGCTCAGACCGCAGCCACGAGCTGCTCAAGCTGCTGCCCTTCCTGGAGCACCTCGCCACGGTCAGTACTCATCACCAGCTCATCACCAGCTCATCACCTGGAAGAAAATGCTAAAATTCTGATGCAGTAATAAAGTATTGAGTATTCATCATTATCGACAAATCTTTGAGGCCCTAAGACTGGACTAGTCCTGCGCTGCCCGCATCCAGATGCTTTCCGCGACCTTCACCAGATCGTCGGTCCACCAATCGTCGATCGTCGGTCTTCTGGCCCGTGGTCTCCAATTGATTTCTGCCCCAACGGCCATCAGCTTTGCGAACTGTGTGCCCCGCCCCCTAGGCCAGTAGAATTAAACACAAAAATGAATTAAATCGGAAATAATTCCTACTAAAGATTATAGTGCTTTAATGGCTTCATTAGTTGCCCATAAAGACTCTCCTAGGTTTTCGACTTCGACGGAGTTGTGCTTAAGTGGTGGGGGCCCCCGAAAGGGGCGCTTTTTCGGTTTTCCGGTTATACCGCGTAAAGGACTAACCCTATCGAAAAGTGGTCTTCCTGACGGTTAAAGGGCATTTAATCCTGCATTAAATAAGACCAAATTCATATGTTTTGGACAAACCGTTCTCGTGCAAATGTTCGGCAAAGTACAAAATAAAAAACCCTGCCCACTTGATTTTAGTAATTCAGCAGGCTATGTCGGTCACTTTGGTTCTCCTGCGGATCTTCTCACTTTTGATTCGATCACGCAGGGAAACTCCGAGCATAGCACGCTCCATCGCCCTTTGGGTGACCTTGAGCCTTCTTATGAGGCCCATAGTAAAAGTGTGTCATATCATTTTCCCGAAATCTCGCATTTCAGTACAAAAATGTCGTTTTATTTACTCTTTCGATTCCCTAATTATTATAAATGTATGTATTATTAATGAAACATTCTTCTCTTGCAGAAAGACGACGTTCGCCCGTACATCCGCGACAAATACAAACTGTTCAGCTACCTGCCCCCGGACTAAGGCGTATCACTGTACTGTATGTATCACTTACGTATCTATTTGGACATTAGGAACGTTGAATGTTAAAAAACATTACAATTGAGAGGGGCATTTGAAGTAGAATAACTTTTTACAAAGTGTGAGATATTTATTTGCGCCTCTGCTACACTACTCGCGGAGTTAATTGAAGTATAGCGTGGGCACACATTCGTGTTACCTCGCCTCGCCTCGCCCGACTTCCGATTGTTAAGCCCGATCCGACCAAACTTATCCGAGAATAACTCCTGGTATAACTGGCACATTGGCAGTTTCAGTATGGGAATTATGTCAAAATAACTGACGATTTATTCTGAGATTAATTTTTATTCTTGTTTGGTCGAATCCTGCAAATGGCGCAAGTACATTGCAGGAAATTGGCCGAGACGTATAGTGTGAACACCATCTCGGTTACTTTTTCTTCGCTAAGTGTACTTGCGCCATAAGAATAAAATATGTGACAAATTCAATTTCAAAATCTACATATCGTGTATTAAACAATGTATCATATAAATAGTTATTACATAAATACATACGTACGTTGGTCGCTGATAAAATAATACACATACTTATAATAAAAAGGAAACTGCCAATCTATGTGCAAGCCGGTTGCGACATTTTTATTGTTCAAAAGATATCCGATAACAGTTATTTACAACAGTTATTATAATTAGACACAGCAAAAGTACGTAAAAAGTATTTTATCAATGTTTACGATGATTTTACTTGTAATGGAAATTGTTGATGATAGAATGCACTGAATTGGAATAAATTGTTACCACACTAATATTATAAAGATGAAAGATTTCTTCTTATTGTCGTGTCGACGACAAACCTACACAGTGTCAGCCCAAAACTCCGCCACAAGAATGGCGTTGTCAGTAGCCTTCATTAAATCTTCCTGCGTACAGTTGTTTGGGCACGCAGGGCACGACATCATGTGCTTCGTCGACTGGGGAACAAAACCGCATATGCACTCAAAGTTTTAACCATAAAAAAATCCCCACGTAAACAGATTGAATTAGTTGATTATATTTGATATTGAATATGCTCCGAAACTGCTGGACCGATTTGTGAAATTCTTTCACCATTAGAATCCTACATTATTTCTAGTGAACAAAGGCGGTACAAAGTTCGCCGGATCAGCTACTTGACTTTATAATCGACAAGACTGCAAGGCTTAGCCGCGTGAATTTTAGTCTGCTACAGCCTATGTTACTCAGGAATAATTAAAATGGTGAAAGAATGTTTGAAATCAGTCCACTAGTTTTTGAGTTTATTCGTTACAAACATACAAATCTTTTCTCTTTTTAATATTAATATGATATTGATATTTTTTTGTTTCATTTATCTACACTTTGAGTCTATTCGTAAATGAATGCCCCTTTAACTTATAAAAAAAAACTTTAAAAACGAAGGCAAAAGATTGATGAAAAATTAGCTAAATAGTTTCCTATGATTATTAATAAATCATGGTGAACTTGAATTGCAAGATATGTCCAAATAGATACTTTATATATTATTTTTAATAATAACATTATGAATAAATTCGCAAATTACACGGTTGGTTTTATAAATTAGGAGAGAATATTCTAAATTAATATATTGATTTTATTGAATAATAGATTTGGCAATTGATGACTGTTGTACATGATTTGGTAGATAGAATAATATATTTATGTGTGTTAAAACTCATTTTTATTACTAGGCATATGATATGAAAAATAACTCACAAGTACCAATACATCAACAATATTTCGTGCAATAATAACTATAAAAAGATTTTCAAAATCGCAAAAATAATCATCGATTTTAAATAAATTATAATAACTGTTGAGTCATTTTAAATATCACACTGTCATTGAAATTGAATTTATTTTAATCAACTGTAAATTATTTTTAACGCAGATAAATAGGTGATATAAATTGTCACTGTCAAACTGACAGCAAAAATATGTACAGTCATGTACAACGGTCTTAATAAATTAATAAAATATAGTATTGTGCGTGGTTAAAAAAAAAATTGAAGGCATAAAATTCCAAATTACCTGTGCTGTAATCGGTCTACTTTTTAATCTGTGATTGAATAATCAAGAATTTTTATTTAATTATTTTCTAAAAGTAAAAATATGAATTTTGGGTAGAACTGACTTTTTTCTACTAAAAAAAACATATTTTTTCGTATGCTCTTCTCTGAAGATATGATTTTTAATTTATTGATCTCTTAGAAATTAAATGTATAATATTGGCATATAAAATATATCGTGGTCATTAAAACACATTATTTTCTTCTACCCATTTTTCATTATTTTCATGACGTACAGTCAAACATACAAGAATTTTAAAGTTTTTTAGTGATTTTTATGAGTTTCACTCGAAACTTTCTGTTTTTGTATGCGAGACTTAAAAATGTGTTTGTTTTTATGTGTTTTTTACATATTTTATTAAAATATAAGTACTCGATGATATGGAGGTGCTATAATTTTGTAATAATTGTTTTTAGGATTTATTATTTTTTAACATATTTTTACGATGATATTTCCGTTTTGACTTTGTCGTTTCGATAAAATAAAAATATTTTAAAAGTTATTCATTATTTTTTATACGTCAAACACATAAAGCAATAGGATAAAATAATGAGCATTTATTAATATTAAATTATTCTATGAAAATCATAGACGAAAGCAATTTTTTTAGTCAAATCGGACGTATCATATTTTTTTATATCTAAAAATTAATTTGTAAGTGCATAATGTGTTATTTTGTAGCAATAAGTTGAATTACGTCTAAGCTTTATTCTCTATGTTCCTGTGAAATTCCAATTGTCTATGGCCGATTTTTTGGTTCAAAAAGATTTTTCTCATAAAATTGCAATTAATTTTTCAGTATAATTCTGGATAGTATTAAAATTATCTAAATAATAGAGGACGTCAGTTGATTGAGTTGATTGATAATAGCTAACGATTAGAAATATAATTAGATTTAATCTTATCTAAGTCTATCACCGTTCTAACGTGTGATAGGAAAAATATCTGCGAGTAGATAGTCATAATTACATTAAAATAATCATAAATTACATTGTAATTTATGATAAATTACATTCGCACATGAAAAAACTCTTTTTCACTCTATTCGACGTAAAAAAACATTCATGTTGATTTTAATTTCTTTTTGATTCATAATTTTTTTAAAGATCAAAATCGTTTATTTTTTGTTCTTTTTGATTCAGGTTTTTTAGAAAGATCAAAATTGTTTTGATGGATTTTTTTTTGTACAATCGCGTACAGTTTTTTTTAACTTATCACATCATGCTGAGTTTTTGATTCTTAACTCATTATAACAATAAAATATAGTAGTTAGGAATAATCAATGTGGTTTCTTTTGAATAATTTTTATTGATTTTTTTTTTATTTAAATTCAAAATAATTTAAATTTTGTTTAATATGTTCTAAAGAAACCACACTTCCTTCCCTAAGATAATTTTCAAAATTAAAACGTACTGTAACATAAATAAAAACCATAGTATTATTCGAATAAAATTTCTTCTTAGCCTTCGTATAGTGAATAAAATAAAATAACTCGGAAAAAGCGTACTGTAAAGATAAATTAACCATTTTTATACGAAGGATCGTATAGCTTAGAAAATAAAATTAAAAGCTTTATTTCAATTTGCAATGATTAAAAATGATTTTATCAACTAATGACAATTTAATTAAATCATTAATTGTACAGCGAATCGCAGAAAGGTTTATATAAATATTGTTGATTGTGTGTAAATATTATATAAACATCTTTTTAAGCTATCTATGCGATCTCTAAATGATAAAACAGCGCTGAGGCACGTTTAAAAATAGTGAAAAATAATGTTTATTTGGTCCAGTCATTCAGCGTCAAATAGTTCGTGCAACACCCAAAGTAGCCAAGTGACACCCAAAGTAGCCAAATTCTTTTTGACAATGAGGGTTTCCGCGAATGAAAGATCCGCTAGATGGCGGGACGTGGATGTGGGGTCTGACTGCTGCGTGATTGGTGGATTTTGACATATCTGTCAATGTCATGTCAAAAATAACCAATCATGCAGCATATGGACCTCACGTCTACGTTTTGCCATCTGGCGGATTTTTCACTCGCGAAAACCCTTATTGGATTCAGATTGTGTTGTCAACTTTTTGACCACTTTGAACTACTGACTGTACCATATTCGGAACTTATCGGATTATTTCGTGAGTTTCGAACTCAAAATAAAGAGTGAACATTATTAGAAAGAGATTGAGTGGCATCAAAAACATTCTTTATTTGTATATTTTTTATAAATCCTACTCTATCACAATATTATAGTAGGTAATGCATTATCCCACAAAAATTTACTGTTGCGTGAACACATGGAAAAGGGCCTTTACGAACATTGGTCTCTGCGGGATTTGAACCCGCTACCGGGCGTTGTGGTCTGTCACACGAACCACTAGGTCATGGTTTAGTTATGATCTGCACTGGTTTTTGTATAACCCGTCCTGTATAACTGGACTGTCATGTGAACACACAAGCGTGTGTATGAAATTCGAACTCATCAGTTTTTTACGGGACACTGCAAACTGAATGTTTGTGTTATACTACTTACTTAACGGAATCCTGCAGAAAACGAAAAGTCGTCTTGGGAAAGAGCCCCATGTTCATTCACATCAGTTTTAACAACTATTATCTCCTCTCCAAATCAGCGCTGTCCAGTTATTTAGAGTGTATCGCTGTACTTTTAAACTAGTTGGCTGTAGACATTACATATTACGTGAAAATATGCGACTTTTTATTGGTTACCCTAATAGATAATACCCGCCTATTTTTTCTCTCCTAATCTTAAGATTTAAAAATAAGGTTTATGCAGTTTTTGGGAAATAAATTACTAAGGCAGATACAAGAGACCGAGGCAGGAGACCACGACCATTTTGATTTATGCCTCCTGTGTAGCCAGGAACTACAGCTTGACCGCCAATAACCCGACCAATGAAGGTCAAGTTTGTCCCGGGGGAAAGTTAACTGTCATTGGACCCGCAACGAAATTAATCAGAAGAACATAGGCGTTCGAAGTTAAGGTTCGACTTCCCTCCAGTGCAAAGCGGATCACAGGAGACAAAACAAAGGTGTTGTCTTCTGTCAATCATGAGTACTACGATAAAAAATCTATGACAGATTTTACAGCGCCCCTAGCGGTTATTCTTAAGAACTAAAATTTGTAATAGATTATACGCCTCCGCTAGCGATTACGTTTAATGTAAACTCATGGTAAACCTTCTGATACTGCTTAAATTCAATTTACGATCGTAGTCTCCCTCGGTGTCTTGTTTCTGTCTAGACGTGAACGCGTTATACACTTCAACACAGTATAAAGGACGTAGCACACTTATCGACCCGGAAAGGCGTAACCGTATCAACTCGATGCGGTCAGTATTCTTTGTGTGAAACGTACTGCAACGCACACTTATCCGCACCTTAACGTAAACGCCTCGCCTCGCGGTTGACAGGGAGCAAAATGCGATACGGTGTTGACTGTTGATACCTTTCCGAGTTGATAAGTCTGCTATGACCATCTTTTATGGAACTACCAAATTATTTTTCAGTGATTAGTAATAAGTCTATTGTTTAAATACGTAATACTATTGTTTATGATTGTATTTAATTTTAATTATGTGTTATTCTTATTTCCCTTCCACTGCAACGTTTATTTGCAAACGAAAGTATGCAGTATCGTAGTCTATGGTTTTGAAATAACGTAATTATTTATTAACTAGCGGCCGCCCGCGACCTCGTTCGCGTGGACCCCGTCTTACCCCCTTAGGTCCAGTTTTTTGATTCATAGTTAAAATAACTAATTGTTAAATTTTGCTACTAATGGTTAAATATTAACAAAATGTAAACAAATGGTTAAAAAATGTACTAAAAGTCACGCTAACCATTGTTCGAAAAACATTTTTTTTCTGATTTTTAACCACTTGTCATTTGACATCTGTCAAATTTGACCATTGGTTAATTTTACTACGAATCAAAAAACCGGGCCTTAGGGGTTGAATTTTGCAATATCCCGTCTTAGTAAGCACCTACGTTCTAAAAGGAACCCCCATGCACAATTTGAGACTCCTAGCACTTGTAGTTTCTGAGATTTCGTGATGAGGGTGTCAGTCAGTGATCTTTCGCTTTTACATAGATGTCAATTTTCCGTTAAATCTGAGGGCACATTCCCACTGCAATCCGGCTTTGCGGGATGCAGTAATGATCACGAATGAGGATCCCGCAAAACGACTGTCGTGACTGGCTTTTTTGCTATATTGGTCAATGATTCATACATTTAATTGATATACTTTCAGCCATTTATAAAATGTCTATCTAAAATCTAGATTCTAGATAGATAAATATCAAAAGATAAACATCTAAATTTTGATAGATATCTAATTAATTAAATCCGTGTTAAACACGGACAGTCAATTTGCCACAATCAGCAATATCAAACATAAGTCGCAAAAATATGCAGTGCAGTCATACTTGAGTGTGAAACGACAATCAAAACTATTTTAAACTAAGTCTGCGATTCATTGGTTGATTTAAAATTTTAGATCAATCATAATAGGCTACCTAGTTTCCTAAAAAAAGCTTTTAGTCCGTAATTATATTATCGAAAATTATTGAACACGTATTTTTTTATTTGTCAATCAAAAGTTCAGCGTGACGTCACAAAGTGCTACACTTTTAAGCACTTCTTGACGTTACGGGCCTCTTCTGAACACTGGCGTGCTTTATCTCTTTAAATTCTCATTATTTTGAAAAAGTGACAAATACCTACGTGTCAAGTATTTTTTGTAAAACGGATTAATTCAAACTCTTGCTTTTTTACCCAGGAAACATCCCTGTTATGTTTAAAATGTACTTTTTGCGAATTCTTTGAATTTCGTTTCATAATATGGACTGTAGAAATCTCAATACTGTACTAGGTACTTTCGTGGGCAAATAAACAAAATCATTTAAAAACTTAAATCACAACTTCAGTACTGTTTTAAAATCTCTGACGAGCTTTAAAAGCAAAATGATTTTACTTAATTTACATATTTAGCTGCTCAGCTATTTATTTTAATTGTTTTTATACATACATTTTGTATTTTTATTATTTTAATTTTGATTAATTTCATGTAAAAAAAATCAAAGGTTATTTCAGATTTAGAAATATAGTATTATTTCAGATTCATCATGTATCAAAAATGGAAGGTTCAAAATAGTACTATAGTATTGATTTAAGCTTATTTTAGTTTTCAATATCTACACAACGAGAAAATTACGAAAATATTGTATTTTTTTATATTTTAATCCACATTTTACCCCATATTAATAATCTGTGACAATAATAACTTCAAAGTAAAAACTTTTGGCGCCAATTCAGTGTTGGACGCATTATTGTCGCGGTTTACTTATCTGTGGAAATGTCAATTTTTTCTTACTTATCTGTGGACATTAAAATTTCCCGCCCACTCTAAAAAATTTGTAAAAAAACCAACTTTATTATCTTGGAAATTATGTTTAAAATTGACTAAGCTGTTTTAATAGTATTGGCAGTCTAAAGTTATTTTCTGTTGTATAGATATTGACGAATATGTACTAATAAGTTAGATAAGAGAAATCTGTAGCTAGGTCGTCAGTGATAGGTCAGCTCTGTAGCGAACAAGTTATGATCTAATTTAGATTAAGGCGTACTCGAATGTTTAATCTATTAAAGTATTTAAACGAATCATTCGTTTTATTTATTTATACCTCATGACCAAAAAGATTTGATTGTTATTAGAGTGCATAACTGAGTCAGTGCCTGAGGTACGGGAGGGGTGACATGACAGCAGTTTAAGACAGACAGAGCATATAATATATTAATAAGTCTGAAGGAAATTTGAAGTCTCGCTGACGTTTGACATTGACGTCACAAAAACACCAGTGCCGCTCCCATAGTTCCCATAACTCAGGCACTGACCCAGTTAAGACTACAACGTATGGTGTCCCTTTTCTTCATAACTTTCATAAGCAAAAGAAAAGAGACAACTAGATACCTAGGCTGGATCAAGAATAACATAATTTGGATCCGACTTACAAGAGGGCTTGTAGGCCGGATCATGCATACAAAATATGATTGCAAATTCTCGAAGTGCGCACGCAAATAATGACGTTTTATCAGTGTCATCAAACGGTAACGTATTTTATTATAGTAATTGCTTTTTTTAAATATTAGTACGTTGTATATTTTAACCCCTGAGAGTGGTCTATTCCACTTTGATCATCCAGGTGATCAAAGTGGACTCCAAGTGACGTGACACTTTGGTGTCCTTTGATCACCCATGGATAATTCCACTTTTATCACCTAGGTGATCTTTTCCATGGGTGATCAAAGGACACCAAGGTGTTTCCTGGAGTCCACTTTGAACACCTGGGTGATCAAATCCAGGTGATCAAAATACAAAAAACGCCGGTTATTGTTAGTAAATAATAAGATGCACTATCTTAACTCAGCCTAACTATTGGGCTATTTTCACCTCAAAAAATCCGATGGTCTCGCAAAAAATGTAGTAATGAATGAAAATGGTTATGCAAACAATGCGTCACGGATTAGATTACGTCGTGCGTGGATTAGCAATAAATAATACATTAGATTTAGAGATTTACTCGCTAATCTGTTCTACGTAATTTCTTTTGCTACTACTTACATTGATAAGATTTCATCTAATAGATAGGTAGGTACTTTTATTTTGTTTTAGGATGTGGACAATGTACGGCCAACAACTCATCACATCTACACTTATTGTAATTTTGTAAAACAACACCTATTAGCTAATTCATCATCATCATTTCAGCCATAGGACGTCCACTGCTGAACATAAGCATCTCCCAATGATTCCCACAGCACCTATTGAAATTTCTTTACTTCGTTTCAACCAAATGACGTCCACTGTTGGACAAAGACCTCCCCAAGGACTTTCACCAGATCGTCGGTCCACCTAGAGAGAGGGTTGTTTACACTAAGTTTTCCGGTGCAATCGAGAACTTTTCTTTCTGCCCTTACCTACTTAATTAGCAAAAAAATAAACAGTTTCTATTGGAGTTAGAGGGCTGGCCAGCTAGCGTTTGGCTTTATACATTAGAGCATCATTGGCGAGTAACCGCACCTTACTTTACAGTGGCGATTTCTTGATGAGTGCAAATACGATAATCCTATTGCTTTCAGTTGGCGCCACTAGTGACATGACCTTACGCAACAGTGATGCCAGTGAGCGTTAAAACTATAGCTCTATTGGTTTATTCCACTTTGATCACCTGAATTAGATCACCCAGGTGATCATAGGCGTCACTTTGGTGTCCTTCGATCACCCGTGGATGAGATCACCTCTGGATGAGATCACCCGGGTGATAAAAGGACACCCAAGTGTCACCTATGATCACCTGGGTGATCTAATCCAGGTGATCAAAGTGGAATAGATCCTCATTAGGTACTTTAAACGAGCTTTGAACACGTCATAATTAATTTAAATTAACGATAAGTGTTTACCCATGTTATAATTGCAATTCCACAATGTAAATAGGTGATACTGATCAATAAGATAGTTAATTACATTATGACAATCAGCACTTTTCAAAAACATGACAAATCAATCAGTTTTTATTACAAATTGTTAATTATCAGGATCTTGATTGCATCACAGACTTTTCCATTCTCCTTGTCTACATTGCGTGTTAAAATCATCATCATCATTTCAGCCATAGGACGTCCACTGCTAAACATAGGCCTCCCCCAATGCTGGTTCTGGAATGGAGGCCGCGTACCGGAAAACCAACGTGGGACGTCCACCTACAAGGTGGACCGACGACATCGTAAAGGTAGCAGGGAAGCGCTGGACGCAGGCCGCTACCAATCGATCAACATGGAAAGCGTGTTAAAATGCGTGTAGGAATATCAAATATGTCTTAGGGGTACCTAGTATTACTTATTCTGTGACTTAGGTACGAGTATGATTGTGGAACGTACCATCTCCAACAGTATTTCTCCGTTTGACTCTTGGTCGACAGAACGTTTTGTTTTTATTTATTTATTTATTAGGTACACCAACAAAGTCAAATTTAGGAATTTTGTCGCCATAACCTTCACCTAAGAACGATTCGCCAACAAAACTAAGTAAATCGTTTCTGAATATTTGGACGATATAAACTTTTACCAAAGGATTCGGAATCTGAAAATATAATAAAAATGATACTTATGTAAACATTGCTTGAAACAACGACTAGTGCTGCCCAAATCCTTTCCTGCTTTGCGCGAACTTCACTAATAATCGGTCCACTGAGTGGAAGAGCTGCCTACAGTCAAGTGCCTGCCTACGCTACCTACGTCTCCGTCTTCCGGTTCTTGGTGTCTCGAGAACTTTTTGTCCCAAAAGTAACTTAGCCTCTTTTGATTGATTGATCTAAAGTTAATAAACGGAAATCACAAAAAGCTGGGTGCCGTCAAAGAAAGAAAAAAATCAAATGCTGTCGTCGCGACTAAAGAATTAACCTAAAAATAATCCGGGCTCGTCCGGGATTTGAACCCGGGACCTCTCGCACCCGAAGCGAGAATCATACCCCTAGACCAACGAGCCATGCTCGACTGTATTATATTTTATGAGTAGGTAGGCATCTACTTATGTATTTACTAGTACTCGTAGTTACAAAAAAAATTAGTGCCAATAAAAATCGTTCTTCATTTTATTACTTACATATTCAAATGACCGCAACAAATTAAATACGAATAATAAAGCTTTGTGTTAAATAAGTAGTTGACGTGATTAGTAATTTATTTATTTATTGATGAGCAACATAATAAGCTTACAGAAAAACCAAAGTTAGGTAGGTGTAGGTACATGTTACATTAATTACTTACAATAAAATTATAAGTCCAATAAAACTAAAGGCAAGACGAATGACAAGAATAGATACGAGCAGGTAAATATAACGTGATAAAAATACTTATAATAATAAATATCTTTCTTTCTAGTGACGTGACCCATACCATCGGATATTTTTGTGTTAACGTCATTACATCGATGGATTAGGATTTTCGAAGTAGGTACAGTCAGCAAGGTGGACCGACGACCTGATAAAGGTAGCTGGAAGGCGCTTGATGCAGGCTGCTACAACCAACCGTGCGATGTGGAAGTCATTGGGGGAGGCCTATGTTCAGCAGTTTAGTTGACGCCCTGTGGCTGAAATGATGATGATAACATACATAACCTATTGATAGTTCGACAACTCTCCAAAATTCCCACGTGGATCCAAGCCTTAAAGAAAATTCGAGAAGTCTTAGCAACACGAGAATTAAGACGTAGTTTGTTTTGTAAACAACTAATATAGGCTATCGGTAGATAGAATGCATTATACGCTTTACTACGCTGTAGATAAATACTCCTCTTAATACCTAAAGAATTACCTTCACCTACGTAAGCACAATTATAACAAAACTAGCTTTCCGCCCGCGTGGAATTTTGTCTGTCACAGAAAAACTTTATCGCGCGCGTCCCTGTTTCAAAAACCGGGATAAAAACTATCCTATGTTCTTTCCCGGGACTCAAACTATCTCTATGCCAAATTTCATCAAAATCGGTTGCGAGGTTTAAGCGGGAAAGCGTAACAGACAGACAGACAGACAGAGTTACTTTCGCATTTATAATATTAGTTGGGATTACTTACCTAAGTATGCACGCACTGATAACGTGCCATGTGGTTCCGGCAGAGTAGAATAAGACTACCCCCATTCTTCACGTGGATGCTGTAAGAGGCTCCTACTTACCTATGGGAGAAATATGCGAAATTTGGCCCTTCCCAACCCTTCTGCCCCTTCGGCCCACTTGGGTAACTACTTTTGGGTGTCGCGTATGATATAGGTAGGTACCTACTTACCATAGATTTATTATTTAGCTTAGCTAGTGGTTACCATTTTCGGGAAATACTTTCCACATAGCCAGTAGGTACCTATGTGACATAGGTACCTACTGGCTGATGGGAATGACCAGTGGTTATGTGGACCTCTCCCCGCCACAAGAGTGGGGCCTACCCACTAAAGGTAAAATTCGACGGTGTCCACCGGAGCCCAATGAAACGGAGCCGCGAGTTATTGTCCTAACTTGGACATCGTCCGCGGCTCCGTCTGAGGTAGCACCTAAGCTACTAACATAATAGTAAAGAGCGAAAATAATAGATCAAGTGGTTAAGAAGTAAAGGACGTAGCACACTTATCAATCCGGAAAGGGATCGTAAACGTATCAACTCGAGGCGGTCAGTATTCTTTGTATGAAACTCCATACTGCAATGCACACTTATCCGCACCGTATAGGGTTTCTGATTTCTCGACTTATTTTTTTTCTCGAGTTTCGAGAATTCTCGAGGCCAAAGTCTCGAGTTTTCTCGGGTCTCGAGTCTTTTAATGAAAACTGCTGAAATCGGTTGAAATCTAATAAAAACACAGATTTTTTTAATCTAATATACCTACTTTTATGCACAACAATCAATATTAGAATTTAGTACCACTTATTTGGTAAGGAAAGAAACAAAAAATAAAATCTTCTTTCATAATTAATATTTACTAATAATCATAACAAAAGTCATAAAGTCTCGTGTACTTTAAGGATAAATAACAATAAAAATCTAGAGCTACAATTGAATCACTTGTTTTCTAAAGAACACAAGTCCAAATAGCAAAATTACGATAAATAGTTTTTTTTATGAACAAAAAAATTTTTTAATAAATTTTTAAATTTGATAGATAACGACTTGAATAAACTTACCTAACCTAACGTCTGTTAGGTAAGGTAACTGTCTAGTTAACAAGTTTTTGAGTCTTTACATCAGTCAGAGTTAAAAATACATAATAATATATCATACTCGTTGGTGAACATTATTATTACTTAGTTTCGATTAAGATCATTACTTGCAAATCAAATCAGTTAAAAAAGGAAAGACTAGGCCAATCTTAAAGCAACGTTGACCTATTAAATAATTATAAAGTTACTTTTGTCTAAGAAAATAGGCTTTCAAGAATATTAAAGCTTCAAAATCGAAACTCGAGAATTCTCGAGCTCCGGTAATTTTTTTCTCGTCTCGAATGAAGCCAAATTTCTCGAGTTTTCTCGAGTTCGAGAAAGCTCGAGCAGAAACCCTAGCACCGTAACGTAAACGCATCGCCTCGCGGTTTCCAGCGCGAAAGGTGATACGGTGTTGATCCCTTTCCGAGTTGATAAGTCTGCTATGACATGACCTTAAAACTATAGTGCGTGCAGTGATAGGTTTATGTGACGTTTAAAAGTCCAAATTCTAATCGCTTTAGACGAGGTTTTCGAACTGCTTCGGCCTAGACACCAGTCCTTAAACTTGGACGTGACTGTTATCAGAAACAAGCAATTTATCGGCCGATTACTACTAATTTAATCTTACTAAATAACTCTTCCTTCTACTTATCTCGGCCATTTTAATTTTGCGGACAAATAAATTACAACACTCAATTGTTTTATAACAAAACTAGCTTTCCGCCCGCGGCTTTGACCGCGTGGAATTTTGTCTGTCACAGAAAAACTTTATCGCGCGCGTCCCTGTTTCAAAAACCGGGAAAAAAACTATCCTATGTCCTTTCCCGGGACTCACTATCTCCCTGCCTTTCATCAAAATCGGTTCAGTGGTTTAGGCGTGAAAGCGAGTCAGACAGACAGAGTTACTTTCGCATTTATAATATTAGTATAGTTAAAGTACGAAATTCGAAAAACTGGATTCTTTGACAGTGCTTATCTTAATCTTGTCGACGCAAAGGAATCGAAGTGTATAAAGCTTTTCGATTTACTGATAATGGCCAGGCAGTAATAAGCAGTCATCTGTGGTACTCTTGCCTTTGTGTGCTTGTTACTTTCAGCGTGTAATCTTGTGTTTTGTGTTATCTACCCACCTGTTTTATATCTACGCATCATCAACTATTCTAGAAAAAATGTTAGGTAAGTTTTCAAAACTTTTTAGCGGTGCGCGTTTTAAGCGTTTTAAGATCTTAAGTTGTGGATTCGTCGAAACGAAAAAAGATAAGTTCTTTTGGTTCGATACCAAACTGTAAGAAGATAAAAAATTTACACTTTTTGCATACCTAGGTACTTCTCAAAATTATTTTTTAAGCCGCGTTTTCCATCTTCTTCATTTAATAAGTTATACATGCCAAAATTATTTTGGCCCGTGTGGCGGTGCGCACCAGTGTCTAGTGCGCCGTTAGCGGACGATCCTAGGGGATCCATTATAATTCCCCTCGAAACCGGAGGGGCTCCCTCAAGAGCGAGCTCACGGCTCCGTTTCAATGGCCCCGGCGGACACCGTGGGGTTTCAGTGGAGGTCCCCTTCTGTGTAGTCCCACATTACCCACTGGTGGGGACTTCCACCTGTGGGTATGACGGGAAAAAAGGCGGACGTAACGCTACTGTCATATTATTATGATCATCGTACACCTAAAGCTGTTATTTTCTTAGAGCCTCCGCTAAAACTCGAGGGCGCCCGCACGCGGATTTGTATCGAAAAATAAGTATAGTAGGCTTAGATTAATATCTAAGATAGTAGGTATTTGCAGTGCATGCGTATGACGTGTTTCCATGCGTCATGCGTGTGACCATGCTTGTGTTGAGAATTTAATTTTTGCAAGTAGGCTTTTAAAAAGCACTTTTTCACGTCCCAGTATTAACCCTACCACTGCTTCGGGACAATAAATGGGCCGGTGCTGAGAAGAAGCAGCGCAAGAAACTTCCATACATGTTCATACAAAAACCCTGTAGTCTGCCTTAAGCCTAGTCGCAGTCCACCGACTTTTAGTTGGCCTTTAGTTGGATTTTAATTTGTATGAAGAATCGGCCGATACCAAATCAGTGTAATGTGCGCAATTTCATACATCTCCATACTGATTAACAGCCCGACCCAACTATAGGCCAACTAAAAGTTCGGTGATCTGCGCCTTCTAAGCGGACGCACGCGGCGGGTCACGCGGGTGCTCCGTGCACAGTTTTTTCTGTAAAATAATAGAAAAGTAATAGTTATTATCAACTAATACCGGGATTAGACCGATAACCAATTTTCAGCCAGCAAAAGTCGTTATCAATTGGCAAATCCAATATAAGAAATTAGATTAGAATCTTGGGGCGAACGTGCGGTGCCGGCTTTATTCCGGCGCCACACATTGGGTAGGATTGCTTCCATACAAGTTAGCCTTGGATCTAATAAACCGATCTACATAATGCAACAAGGATGCATAATTGACACCACGGCCCGCACGCGACCCCTTGTACATGTAATAAAGAAAGATAGTGAAATTATGAATCTTTATTCAGTTGTTTCTATTTTCTGTGGCCCATTTTTAGCTTCATAATCTGCCCGAGTGGCCCCTAGTCCCAGTTAAGGTCATAGCACACTTATCAACCGAGAAAAGGATCACCGTATAGCCTTTCGCCGCGCTACCAACCGCGAGGTGAGGCGTTTAGGTTACGGTTACGGATAAGTGTGCATTGAAGTAAGAAGTTTCTTATACAAAAAATACTGACCACCTTAAGTTGATATTACAATCCGTTTCCGGGTTGATAAGTGTGCTTCATCCTTTATTCTGTGCAATTAGACACTGCTTAGCCCGAAGGTAAACTGGCAGAGAAAACCATTAGAGGCAGAGGCATTAAGTTCGCCTTATGTATCAATTTTAAGGCATTGACGCTTTAATAAATAACTAGATATGTAAATAAAAACAATTTTCATAAAAAATAATCTCTTCATTAGAAGTTACAAATTTTAATTATTTAATTACATAATAAAATACATAATAATTAAACATCAACTAATTATTTGTACATCTATACATTCACCGCCTTCCCGCTCCTGTCCTGTTAACAAAGAAATACAATGTTTATTTAATTATCTGTATGCAGCAAAACCAATACTAAGAGTATGCGCACACCGTTGATTTTTCGTCGGCCGATAGTTTAGTCGGGCAGTTGATCAGTATGGGCATGTATGGCAGTGCGCACACTACGCCGATTTGATTTGGCCGATTCTTCATACAAATTAAAATCGGGCACAACTATCGGCCAACTAAAAATCAACGGTGTGCGCCTACTCTAACAGTATAGTTCTTGCAACTCACGAAGGCGAGTGAGCTTTACTTGTGTGTGTACGTGTACATGCACATAACGATAGTGTAGTAATTTATTTATTTATTTATTTAAGGCACATCTACAGAGAACAAACAATGACAGTACAATTAACATGTTAATATTATAAATGGGAAAGTAACTCAGTCTGTCTGTCTCACTTTCACGTCAAAACTACTGAACCGATTAGAATGAAATTTGGTACACAGATAGTTTAGAGCCTGAGAAAGGACATAGGCTACTTTTTAATGCAAAAAAGGGGTTAAAAGGAGGATGAAAGGTTAAATGAAGCAATTTATTAGAATCTTGAAACTTATTTTTTAGACTTTTGATTAGACAGAAATAAAAATGACATTTAAAGTTTTTAAAAATGTTACACTACTAAAGGGAGTAATAAAATTAAGGGATGAAAGTTTGTGTAGAAATCCGTCACTTTTGAAGCTAGAAAGATGAAACTTTTCTATTTTTTTCAATACTCTTGATGTGATCCCACTGTCACCAAGTCAGGGTCTGATGATGGGATCCTAGGAAAATCGCGGCAAACCCTCAAATATGGGCATGTGACAAAAATTTGAAGTTGTTATGTTAAATAATATGTTTTCGTTTTCTTTAAATACATAGCTTATTTAAGTATTTACGCACGTGTGTCTTATTTGTAAAATAATTAGACTAAATTATTAAAAGTGCTTACCCAAAGTAATTATTTGTACATCTATACATTCGCCGCCTTCCAACTCCAGCTCCTGTGCTGTGAGTCTACCTGTTAACAAAGAAATACAATGTTTACTTAAATCTATATCTATACTAGTATTATAAATGCGAAAGTAACTCTGTCTGTCTATCACGCTTTCACGCCAAAACCACTGAAGCAATTTTGATGAAATTTGGCATAGAGAAGGTTTAAGCGGGAAAGCGTAACAGACAGACAGACAGACAGAGTTACTTTCGCATTTATAATATTAGTTGGGATTGGGATTAGTTGGGATGACTAAAGAAGAAAGATTTGATTGTTTGTTGAAATATTGAATAGGTTCTGAAACTACTGGACTAATTTAAAAAAAAATTTACAATGGTAATAATGAGAAATGACAAATAATGAGAAATAATAATAATTTAATGAGAATCCTACATTATTTCTGATGAATATAGGCGGTACGAAGTTCGCCGGGGCAGCTAGTGTAGGTAATAAAGGGATAATATTCATTGTTGATAAAAGAAAGTCTTCATAAGATAGACCCCAATTTTTTTAATACAAGCCCAGCAAAATATGCTTGTGATACGAGGCCTCACTGACTGACTCATCACTGATTAAACCAATTTTCAGGTGTTCAGATCAGAAGGACAAACCAAACCCATTTATTGTCCCGAAGCAATGGTAGGGTTAATACTGGGACGTGTAAAAGTGCTTTTTAAAAGCCTATTTGCAAAAATAAATGAGTTTTTTATTTGTGTAACTTTTTAAAAGTCACGGCTTCATGAAAATTCGGTTAATCAAAAAATAAGAATATCAAAAAAATTGTTACCTGATATTAAATCTCCATCAAAATAGAAGCGCAATTTATCTATCGAAATTTCGAAGTGCTCAGCACATTTCATCATTGCTATTCCTACTTTATCGTCGATACCGATCCACGTCTCAAACGGTTTCTTGACATTTTGACATTGGAACTTCAATTTTATTCCATTCTGGTCTTTCTTATTGTTATCGTCTTTGACTAACTTTGATACACTCTGATTAACAATACCCCCGTCAATAAATTTTACAATGCTATAGTTTATTGTGTCTGGTGTGTCATCGGGCTTGAGTATCCGATCGTTGAACGTAAACAACAACTTGTCATGACTGACGTTTTCTTTTTGTGAGAAATAATCAAAGATTTGTGTTAGTTTTTGGAAGCGTCTGATCATGAACTTAAAGAACTCCGAACTCTGCCAGTAGACTTTGACGGATAGCTCTTCGTTTTCGTCTAATACTTCTGAGTCTTCAACTAGCACTACGTCGTCGGATTTCGGCTTTGAACTAAATAGTTGTTGGCTATCTGACTGATCTGGGTACTCATCTGTGTTTCCAACGCTGTATGTAGGGATTCCCCAAAAGTTAGGTATGTGTATACCTCTAGAGTTTCTACCTCTACTCCTACCACCTCGACCTCTACCTCTACCTCTCCCTCTAGTTCTAGGAGTATTTTGTTGAGTTTGAGGTACATTTTGAACAGGCTGTGTCGTATTTTGTACATTTGGCGTTTCAACTACATTTTGCACGGTATCCGGGGTTGTATCAGTGTTGGTGGCGCTTTGAGACGCTTTCCCGCCTCTTTTTCTTCTGTTTGCCCTTTTAGGAGCGGTACCTTCACTCGAATTGGTGTCAGAACTAGCCCTTTTCGCGGCGGATCGCGTCATTCTTTTCGACGAAGTTGCTAGCAAAGTATCGAGTAAATCTGCATCTTGCTCTTCTTTTTTGCTTGCCTCCTCATTCTTCTTTTCCTGCAAACTGGCTTCGGCCCTCTTTTTAGCAAGTAACTCAGCACTCTTTACAATTTCATCAAGCTCTGTCGTCGATTCGTTCAATAAGTTGGTTGTTTCTATGGTATCCTCCTTGTAATTATTTTTCATTCGCTGCAATTTCTGTGCTATGTTCCCGTAACAATCGTCTTCGGAATCCGACGAGTCCATTTTAAATTAATAAAAAATTACTTTCACAACCGCTTGCTTGTATTTTAGACCAAAAACATAGTCTGGCTTGTCTGTCAAAAAAAACGTTTGTTATCCATGAAGCTAAAGATAAAAATGGAGGCCAGACTTAGAATACCTACTTGAAGCACAACCTATGTATCACTATCTCGCTCTCTGTGGGCAGGCTCTCTCTTTCTAAGTAGGGTAACCTTTTATTTATTTTTCTCAGGACGACAAAGACTGATTTACGTTTAAACAGTGTGTCTTGATAAAGTGCACTTAATATGATTATGAAAAAAGGTTTTCGATGTTTTTGTTTTAAGATGAATTACAACATTAAGAAAGTGTAAAGGCATCGAAAACTGTGGATATTTGATAGAAAACAGATTTTAATTTGGCAGTTGACAGACGGATTTGGATATGGATTGATTACAGTAAACGGCCGTAGAAAACATTATGCAAAATTAGATAAGTAAGGTCCCACAGAAAGTCCCAGATATATCCTCAATATGGTCATACTACTTCAAAATGTCTTATAGAAACAAAAATTTTAAATTTGCTCAAAGTCAATGAAACTCAATGTAAAATCTTCTTTTTCTTGACATATGTAACATTTAATAATAAGTTTAAATACTGGTAAAACGTTTTAGGAAGTAATTACTGTGAAAATACAAAGAAATATGTTAACAATGATCCACTGTCAGAAATCACGAAATAAACACTTACGCGTGGAATTTTATATCACTTCCAGGACAACACGAACTACCGCAACCACGCACTATACAATTTTGCACCATTTCTTCAGACAAAACAATGATAAGGTCCCTTGAAAAATCTCAAACGAAATCAACTGCATAGTAAACAACCGCCATGATGGGCCGGATTCGGCCGATGTTGCCACATTACCGATACCTCAGAAATTGGGATTGTAATTCCCTGATTCGCCAACACATTAAGCCTAAATGGCCGACAATTTTGTGATTTTTTATTTAACTAGGTAATCTAAGTTTCAAATATTAATTATTTATTTATTTAACTTCTTATTTGGTTAGTGAATTGGCTATTTCGAAGAATTTACAAGGAGATTTAAATAAGAAGATAGCAATACTACAGTTCACACTAAAAAGAGAGGTAGGGCCACAGAGAGCGAGATAGATATAAGTAGGTATTTGACTCAAGTTTTGTTCCCAACTTTGCCCTCCATTTTTATCTGTAGCTTCATGTTGTTATCAGAAATGCGTTTCGTTCGCAAACATTTTATACAAGAAACTAATTTTATCTGAAAGATATCAAGTTGAACTTATAAAAATTTATAGAATTCCAAATTTATTATATGTAGGTATATAGCTTAATAATTATTTACTTACAATAATTAAGACGTAATTTAATAATTTTAACGCTTCTGAAAGTGGAACTGGTGGAACTAAACGCAAGTAGCCCAATGAAATCAGTACAACCTGTTTCCGTGGAATGCGCGTCCCCTTTCCTAACCGCGATTAAACGCAATTAATTAGTGATTAAACGCAATAAATGTGTCTTATTTTACCCAAATACACAATTTTTATCAATAATAATAAATAAAAAATATTTTAAATATAGTTTGTTAAAGTTATAGACGCTTCCCTTCGAGTGACGTCATATCGCCAGCGGCAAACTTATCGCGAACGGATAGTATGTACAAAATTATAAATCATTGTATTTATTTCACCGGGTCCTCTAAGTATAGATTCAATAGATAAATAACTTAGTTTGTTTTAGTTAGATAGATAACTGATGATTACTGTTCCTGTATGTCATTTTTATATCGATACCTCTGGGCTCAAAGGTCGTAAAGGACAAAGTACGACTTTTCAGGAGAAGCAAAAAACGATTTTTTATTTTTTTATTCGACAGTAACTTTTTTGTTTTTCGAGCTATTAAAATATGACCTAAGAAGAAAGTGCTTAGAATTCACAGCATTTTCCGAAGAGGTATTGAAAAATTGGACTAGAGCTGTATTTACTGAGATAGATTTCCTTTACGCCCTCAAAATTACATTAAAAAGACCTTTACGCCCCTCAAATATTCGTNGATATTTTTGGTTACCTAATCATGTTTACCAGCCAGCATCCAGCTCTGTAAAAACAGTGAAAGGGATGGTAATGCAGAAAAAACGGAAACAAACACTTCTGATTTTCCAATTAACCGGTCCATGGAAATCACTGTAAGAGCCCTCTAAGTTCAACTGTGGGAGGGTACTTTGGCTAAAATAATGACGATAATGACGAATTTCTTATTATTTTCAATTATCGTCTACGTCATAATTATCTTAATCCAGTGAACAACTTGGATTAATAAGTCTGTAGATATGTCAGAAAGTAACTGATTGGTTAGGTTGTTGATGCGCAAAAGTCCGCAAAACTCGCTATTTACATTAGACATTAATTTATTGTGCGTGATCGAATCAGAAATGAGGAGATCTGTAGGAGAACCAGAGTGACTGACATAGCCCGCAGAATCGCTAAAATCAAGTGGCAGTGGGCGGGGCACATAGCTGATGGCCGCTGGGGCAGGAAAGTTCTTGAGTGGCGACCACGAGCTGGAAGACGTAGCGTGGGCAGGCCTCCCACTAGGTGGACCGACGATCTGGTGAAGGTCGCGGGAGGTACCTGGATGCAAGCGGCGCAGGACCGGTCTTTGTAGAAATCCTTGGGGGAGGCCTTTGTCCAGCAGTGGACGTCTTTCGGCTGAAACGAACTAACGAACGATTAATTTATTACTCTGATAAAATAACAACGTAAAAGTTATTTTAATAACCTACTTAACTACGGTTTTTCTACTTCTACCAGAAGTTTTTATTTTACTTCATGAACCCAATTATCTGAAATTCGTGTGTCAAAAGTTTTTCTTCTTGAAATTGATTTTTTTTTGTTTTCATACATCTACAGAGCTTGAGAAATAATCAAAGCTTGTACTATATTATTGGTCATAACAAAACAAAATAATAATAGGAACTTATAACACAATAAATTACAAAATCACCTCCTATTGCCGTGTACTCTGACAATAGAAAAGCCATAAAATTTATCTAATCATAAAATCCGAGTTGATAAGGCAATCTACATTAGAATGACGTCAACTATTTAGTACCTATTCGCAGTAATCAATGTGCGAAATTATTATTATTATCTAGTTACTTATTAGGCAAAGTTATCAAAATAATTCTGTGGTTTATTGTTTATGTATGAGTTTTACTTCGATAATCAGGATTACTTTCTCAACGTGCTTTTGAAGTAGGATTCAAGACTGTCTCATTTTGTAATGTTAAAAACTTCAAAAAGTAAGCTAAATATTTTAGCCTTTAATTGAATATTAGGGTATTAGGGACTAGTTTAAAGAGTTTAAACTAGGCAAGTCGCCCAAAAAATAATACACTTCAAAAATTATGAACGAACACAGTTGAGATCTCGCTCTTAATTTAAGTGTAGCAGCTATTATTTTAATCATTATATTGATTGGGTCTGGGGAATGCCTTTTCAGTGTATTTTTCCGTCATTATAATGACAATCTTAATCAAGATCTTCTAATTAGATTATAACTACGTTTTCAATAATAATCCAATAAATGTGCAGATTTTATCAGAACAAAAACGCATTTACAGTAGCTGGGACAAATATTTACAAAAGTGATTCGATCTCTTAACGTAATTAATGAAGATTAATTGCAATTTTACACAATGAGGGTATTCGCGATTGAAAAATCCGCCAGATGGCAATACGTATACGGGAGGTCGAAATGCTGCATGATTGGTGGATTTTGACATATCTGTCAATGTCATGTCAAAAATAACCAATCATGCAGCATTTGGACCTCGCGTCTACGTTTTGCCATCTGGCGGATTTTTCAGTCGCGAAAACCCTCATTGTTGCTATTTTTTTATGATTGGGGAAGAAAAATTAGGTAAATAAGATTATTTTATTCTGTTGTTGTACCTATAAATAAATAAATAAATTGGTAACATTACCTACTTACTCATCATTGCTCAGTTCCTTACACCGAGTAAGTACCTAACTTTGTGGTGCTGTCGTTTCTAGTTTGGCTAGGACATTGTAGGCATAAAAATAATTGATTTACTTGTATTTGGCTTACATTAATTTGGAATCAACGATTAATAATATGAGAGAGAACGAAATCAAATCGCTTCACAGAGCGAATGTATAAATTTTTTTTACTCATAAAAAACCGCCAAATTCAAGCGATTTTAAAAAAGTTTTAAATGTTAATTTTAGGGGAACTGATTGCCCGAAATAGTAAACTCAGGCGCCATGATGATCACTGACTCATGAATTCATGATCACTGATATGGTAGACATGGTAGTCGATCATGGACTTATAAAAAAGTTTGATTAAGTAGGTACCTAGGTACAAAGATTGATCTAATTTTCCTTGTTCAAATCAATCATTTAACTTGAGAGCCAATACAAATTAATTTATAAGTTGGTAATTAATTAAAACCACACGTTAGGCTAGATTATAATTACGATAAGCTGTTGTTCTAAAGATATGGATAAGGACTAAACAATGGTAGGACACACGTAGAATTTTGATATTCATTGTTTTGTTGTAACTACGTAGGTACTTACAAGTAATTTTGTTGATAATAAAGCTGAGGCCGGCGGGTCCTCCACAAATTGGAAGAGTCACTTACCATCAGGTGAGATACAGGCCAAGAGCTTCCTCGTTGTGGATAAAAAAAAAACGTTGGTGCCAATTTGATACTATTTTCTAGCTGGATAAACATCTAGGACAAAAGTGGCATTGGGAATCTTGGACTGACTTTAGTTGAAGGAAATGCCGCTTTTTTGCTCGACTTGGCGGGGGCACTGCCGTGCCCAGTTCTAGGCGCACGGTCATTACTATAAAGAGACCGACAAAGTTGTTTAGGTGCATGATGCTGCGAATGCGATCACTTTGACCTGACTGCAGATTCAGGGCACATTATGGAGGCTTTATACTTATTAGTTTATTCACCTTGTACATCCATGGGAAGAGTAAGGTTGCTCCTATTCTATTCTGCCAAAACCACAGGTCCAAAAATATTAAAAAAATTGTTTTTATTGTTACAGCCAAATCTTTGTGTGCCTTGCTGGCTGTCGGCTATGCTGCCGCCGTGTCTTTTGAGGGAGTGGACCCCAACTCGCTGCATTGCGACCCGGAGGGCCAAGTGAGTGACGTCATCATCATCGTTTCATAAATATTTCCTTCATCATCAATGTTAGCCCAAATCGATGACAACGAAAGCTAGCCATGGATTTTTGCTGAAATGCTTTTTCCGATCTTGTGACCCTTCTGGGAATTGACCCGCGACCTTGACCAAGTTCGTTGGTCCACCGAGTCTACAGCTGTCAACGTCTTCCTGTCCGTGATCGCCTCTCGAGAATTTTTCTACCCCAAAGGCCCCCTTAGACAAGGGGATTTGACAGTTTTAATTTCGAAATCAATTCACGGAGCGAGGAACAAAAAACGTTTGTGCGAAGTGATTTCAAAATTAACTGTCCTGTAAGCCCACAAATTATTAAGTCAGTTGCTTGTTAATATTTCTGCTGCCTACATAACATACACAGGTAACTCGTTGTTATTGATATTAATCGAAAGATTTAACAGAACTATTGTATTTATTTCAGGTTTTCCTCCTCCTGCCGCATTTCACAGACTGCAACAAATTCTACATGTGCGACCACGGCAAGGAGGTCGAAAGGTCCTGCCCCCCTACATTGATCTTCGATTTCGTTAACCAGGTAAAAATAAGATAAATTAATACCATTGTTTGTTAAACTATTTGAAACTGGCTAGGTTCATTGCAATTTTTTTTAAAAGAAGGTTTAATCTTTGCAGTCTTTGCACACAGATTTTTAGAAAAATAAAACTGTCAAACTTTACGTTATAATTTCCCGCCAAAAAGGTGCGTGCCAAATAGTGCTGCCGAAACACCGGTAGTTGACATCGTTACTCTATCGATTAAGTAGTATTTAATTTTGTTCAAGATAAGTAATTTTGTTGTTTTGTTTGTTCATTTTGTTAATAACTTAATTTGTACACCGCAAAGGTACGACATGTTGATCCATTTTAAATGCTGACTTAACACCTTATGTACACATGTTTGAACAAATAAATGTATCTTTATCTTTATCTTAAATGAGCATTGTTTTGTGTGTTTCGAATTTTATCACAAATATTTTTTTAAAGAATCATTCAAGTTCAAATACATTAATAGTATGTAGTTAGACCATTTTTAGAACACAACAACAAGACCTAAAATATATTACTTATTCGGTATCTAGTTACAATATAATGGACAAATTAATTTATTAAGACGCCTAGTTAGTGATGTACGTCAAATACATCTATCGATGTAATTATATCGATGTTAGCGATAGATAAAAAAATACCAACACCCCATTATTCTATTCCAGGTCTGCAACTGGGACTGGGCCGCCCCGTGCCTGCTCCGCGACCAGGAGATCGAGGGCTCCGGCGACGACGGTGACAGCGGCAGCGGGAGTGGCAGCGGCAGCGGCGGCTGGGCCGTCGAGCCGGAGGAGGCTGAGGATGATGGTGGTGAGTAAAACAGACACTTTTTTGATACCAATATTACAAAAAAAGGTATTTTGCGTAGAAAATAATAATAACCAATAACTTTTTCCCACTTGGAGAAAATTTGTATTGGTTGAAAAAAAGATACGAGAATAATAAAATAATAAACACGATCCGTACCTTTGATCTTTGATTCTCACAATTTACATCATCAATCTTAAGTACAAAATTAAGACAGTCTCTTGGTGTGCATTATACAATATTAATTAAATATTATTTCTGTTACAGATGATGTGCCGAATGCTGCTGTATTCGCTACCCAGTTCAACACCATCCTAAACTGCAATAGAGCCGAGACCTCCTCTAGGCAGATGCCTTACAGGTTCGTTTACATCACCTTTGGTTAAGTAAATCTACTAGATCAGGGAAAAAAGCGGAGGTAACCCTTTAGTTTTGGGAAAACCCAATTTAACTATATTGGCCATTGCCCCCTTACTATACTCGGCGCAAAGACTCGTGCAGCCGGTCTAATAATAAAACTGTGCATATCACATTTTCTCTCGCACTCACACTGGTTGTCGGTAATGTCACACAAAGGCAGGCATAGCGTTGTTTATAATACCTACGTAATAATTAATTAAATATGTATGACGAGTGTGCATCTCTGTTTCAAAAATTTCTTATGGCCCCGCCTACCACGAGTATAGTGGTAGTGCGAGTAACATGCAACATTTTGTTTTTAACTTGATAAGAAAAGTTGAATATTAAAAAAAAAGATATCTGCTTCGATTAGAATCGAGCTCACTAAATATAAATCCAGCATTAAGTCATTGATAACTTATTTAGGGCTGTGCAGTTACGTATCTATCGATATCGATACCTGTGTCTAAATCATAATATTTATTTAAACTTCTATGACACAAAAAAACCATCCTTCATGTTAAATTGTCTTTCAACAAATCTAAATTAAAACCTGCTTCTTCCAGAGGGGACTGCCAGCGCTACTGGCGGTGCAACGGCCGCAACCTAGAAGCCGTCTACTGCTCAGACGGTCTGTTCTTCAACGCCGAGTCGCGCCAGTGTGATTTCGAAGCCAATGTCAAGTGCGACGTGCAAATAACAGACGAGTTGGCTGGAGAATTCATTGTTTACAAGTAAATTGTTGGTTGGAGACGGTGTCTGGTTTTGGAGACTGTAGAATACGTTGCCACTGTATTTAGAAACTTACTTCTTTGTGTTAAGGCATTACATCATTTAATTTGAGCCTGTTAAAGGCTTGCTTACAGCGAAAGTCAGAATGCCGTCAATTTAATTTGTATAAATACATTTTCATAGTATTGGTAATCAATAACATCAGTTTTATGTAACTTGAGGACATAGCGAATCAAAATCGAATCATTGTTTAAGTTGAGTTCTCAAAATATTTTTTATTTAAAAAGCATTGCTGGACAATGCTTCAACTACGTCAAGAAACAGATGACCGTCTCAAATGTCCATTGTTGAATTACAATCGACAATTTAGGAGCAATCTCTAACTACACACTTTAGAATTTGTATGGCTACCTTTGGAAAAATATTTACTTATTTGACATCACATTTTTATTTACCACTACAAAAAGTTAATCATATTTTTATAAAATTAATAATGTCAAACAAATTATCTCTTATACTTTATTTAAATTCAAACTTGAATCATACAAATACTATTAATGGAGTTGTATTATATTATAGTATGTGGTTAGTAATAATAATATAAGTAAACAATAAAAAAATCAAAACCTCGTACAAATTATTCGCAAGAGACATTTTTATATTCAGTTTTGCTGATGAAATTTGTGTTTTTTGTAGTTTATTTACAATTGAGGTTTTGAGAAAAGCAAAAAAAATACCTATGTACATATTAAAAACCATTATTTGTATGTATAACCTATATTTTACTACAAGAATAAAATAAAATAAAAAATAATAATCTTTTTTATAAATTGCCCCTATTTTGTCGTAATAAAGATTCTTATAAATCGAGTTTTTTATTGCCAAGCTTAGATTTTAAAGGACAAAATAAATAACAAAATCATAATAATCTCAATTTATTTTAGATAAGTCTTGTTTAAAAATAATCAAGTTAATTTTTCAAATCAAAATATGTCGATTACAAAACTATCGATACTTTACAACGTTAGTTCACTATTCTTTCTTTCCCTTAAAAGGATCAGGTTTTGGATTGTCCACTTTTTCGAACGGGTAATACGGGTGGTCTTGCCAGAAGCTAGGGTTTACTACCCTGTAGTCTTTGTTGAACTTGCCTGGAAATTAAAAAGACAAATAATTATTATTTAAAAAATGTAGGTATAGACAAACTTAATTACGTATTTGATAACTTTAGAACTTGACTGATCTACGCGGTATTAAATAACTAAAAAGCAGTTCTATGCTTTATTCTCCTCTTTACTGCAACTGCCTTGATTAGAAACCTAACAAATAGGTAACATGAAAAATTGTATTGCACCCTTTTAATAAGTAAGGGAGAGTCCGCTAATTTGGACCAGTTTTTTTCAATCCCATTTTACACACAGTTTTCTTTTGTTTTTGATAATGTCCATGGTATGTAATAAAAGATACATTATTCAACTTACTATTTCATAAGTATTAATTAACATGATTGTTGTATATTTAGCACAAATCAACAAAGTACGAGTTCAGAGCTTCGGTCCAATTTAGCCAACCGGTTCGATAATTTGTACCACAGGGTTACTAAATTGGATTTCAATAAATTTCAAGCCTATAATAAAACTATGGCAAAATATTATACGATACATTCTTAACAAATTAGAAAACGAAAAGGAACAGTAGTTAATAACATAGACAATCGATATTGTTTTACATGTTATCACGATTTTGAGTACAAGTTTTGTAATTCCAATTATCGTAACGCACACTTGTAGCTAATCTACATTGCCAGTCTTTTGCTTTCATTTATTGTTGGTCAAACATAACTACGCTATTATAACTTCAAAATATGATTTACAAAAAAAATTTCAAAATCCTTTGGTAAAGTTCCATACAACTGGATGTGGTACAATTTAGCCGACTAGGTGATAGTGCTTTTAAAAAATCGGTAAAAAATATAGCTTATAAATACCGAAAAATGTTTCAAATAATTGTAATCCACACTAATTTACGCTTCTAAATAATATATTAGAAACACCCTGTGATTAAATTTAGCAAAATTACAAACTAAACATGTATTGTCAAAAGTTACTTGAAAACAATGAAAAAATACTTTTCAAAATAAAACACACGTGTTTGTTGTCACGGCTATAACCACATGGCCGATATTAATTGATTTTAGTTGTGTATCGCTGAGTGTTGCAATTACAAACATTCAATAAATACTTTACGAAATATGAGGGTGGTACAATTTACCCGGCGGTACAATATACCGAACTCTCCCCTACCTATTAAAATACTATCGATAATTTTACAATCGATCGACAACACTAGAGTTTATCACTCCAAATATTCTGTGGCATCAACTGACATTACTGACAGACAAGACGTTAGAAAACATAGAAAATGACAGTCAAGTTTTGGACACGATGCGTCATGACTTCATTTTATTTTTTATTATTTTCATACAAAATAAATTTTATAAAATCCGATTTGTATGAAAAATAAAATAATTAAATTGAAGATATCAATTTTCTGACTTCACCATACCATTTATATGACCATGTTAACATGGGCTAGTGTCGGCTCTTACCCATTTACATAACACCCTGTATATGGCTCTCAAAATAATTTTAAATGGGTAGATAAACTTACCTAGGGTTTCCAAATCCATCGTGGTCAGTCTGAAATCGAAAATATCAATGTTTTCTTCGATTCTTTGCTTGTGGACTGACTTTGGAATTGGCACTAAGCCTCTTGACACCTGGAAATAGAATTAAAATATATTATCGGCTTAGATGCGGTTCCAGCAGAGTTGCTAATGGATGTCGTAAGAGGCGACTAAGGGACAAAAATGGGCCCAAGGTTTATAATTTCAAACAGTGTAATGGCTAACATGGCGTGACATTTGGCAAACTTGGAAACAATAGCCATAGAGGAGAAGAAGAAGAAGGGACAACAATGTGAACATCAGGCTTCCCCAAATCGTTCGTTTCAGCAAAATGACGTCCACAGCTGGACAAAGGCCTCCCCCAAGGACTTCAACGACGATCGGTCCTGCGCCGCCCGCATCCAGGCACCTCCACGTCTTCCGGCTCGTGGTCGCCACTCGACAACTTTTCTGCTCCCTTTCTTATAATGTGCCCCGCCCACTGCCACTTTAGCTTGTTGATTCGTCGGGCTATGTCAGCGACTTTAGTTCGTTTACGGATCTCCTCATTTCTGATTTGATCTCGCAAAGAAACACCGAGCATAGCCCTCTCCATAGCACGCTGTGCAAATTTGAGCTTCTTTATGAGGCCTATAGTGACAGGCTACGTTTCGGAGCCATAATTATTTAGTAGGTATTATGTCATCAGCAAAAATCTAAACCTAACAACCCAGCATTGATATAGCGCCCTCCTGTAAAGTCATAAAAATATGGTTTCCTACGTGGCAAAACTTTGAACTAATAATACAGTATTGATAGTAGCGCCCTTCTGACAATGTCATAGCTGAGATGGTTAATTGTTGGACATCTTTATCACACACTAGAAACATTCGTCATCAATCAATCATTAACAGCCCTTTACAGTCCACAGCTGGACCATTTATGAGCCTCCTCCACTAAGTGGAGGGTTTCGCCATAATCCCTACGCTTAACAGGCGGGTTGGAGATCGCAGTTTAAAAGATTGATGTTTTCCAGAGAGCGCTGTTGCCCGTTCTCTGTTTGATGTGTACTTATTCCCTAAGTCGCCTCTTAGACTTTCGTCATACTCTACAGTATTCTACATCAAAAATAACTTACCAAGTTGTTCAAAACCATCTGGGGAACGGTCTTCCCATACCGCTCCGCCAATTCCACCAAGACAGGATCATCCGTTCTTGGCGCGGGGGCAGAGGCGTCGTGACTGAATAGGGATCCGAACGGGGAGTACGCCATTACGACGACGTTCTCGCGGTGGCAGTAACGGACCAGCTCGTACTGGGCTAGGTTCAGGTTCACCTGCAAAAATTAAGTCGGTTATTAATAGGCTAGGTTCCCAAAAAAATCATCATCATTTCAGCCACAGGACGTCCACTGCTGAACATAGGCCTCCCCCAATGACTTCCACATCGCACGGTTGGTAGCGGCCTGCATCCAGAGTCTTCCTGCTACCCTACCAAAAAAAAAACTTTTGGTCTATTAGCAAAAAATATTAGTTAAACACGTATTTTTTTATTTGTCAATCAAACTAGTAATTATGAAGTTATGATGCGTTGAAGTTCTGCATGACGTCACAAAGTGCTACACTTTTAAGCACTTCTTGACGTCACAGGCCTCTTCAACTTTGACGCACTTCATCTCTTTCAATTTTCATTATTTTGAAGAACTGAAAAATACGTGTCGAGTATTTTTTGATAAGTTAACTGACGGACTAATTCAAATTCAAACTCTTGGCTTTAGAGCCAAAGTAGGTACCTACACAATGCGTAGCGAAGGCATATAAATCTGTGGAGGGCACACGAACGTTGAAATCTTTGCGGTGTGGCACCGCAACGCATCGTGAGCTTTGGCTCTAAAAAAAGGATGGAATTTAAAAAAATCCTGAATTTCTCAAGACCTACCTCAACTTGCAAAACGCTCGGTCTGATCTTACAGTTCTGCATCAACCGCTCCATCTGACTGATATTGAAGTTGGAGACGCCGATGGACTTGGCCAGCCCGAGGTTCTTGGCTTCCTCCATCTCCTTCCAAGTGTCCAAGTAGTCGATGACCTCGAAGGCGCTTTCGTCGGGCTGAAAATGGTGGATTTATAGATAAAAGACAGAAAGAAATATTTATCGCAATGGACATCACACAAAGGAAATAGGTGCATAAAACATAACAGTACAATATCTACGGTCACATAAAAACAATAAGGATGAACAAAATGGGTTCAGGACTATTCCCACTTAGACCTCTCGTTCCCACTGCTGCAACTCCTGTGTAGCCAGGATCTACAGCTTGACCGCCAATAAAAACCCAATCAGTGAAGGTCAAGTTTGTCCCGGGGGAAAGTTAAACTGTATTGGACCCGCAACCACAGCCGCAACGAAATTGATCAGAAGAATTATGAGGAGTTCTAAGCTAAGGTTCGACTTCTCTCGGTAAGATGCGGGTCTAGACAAATGCCCCTTTTTGATTGCGCCGATAATTGAATCTCTTCGCTGAGCAAAGTAACTCTTTACAAAAAGAGACAAAAAGCGAAGGCCTTTTGAAATCATCTGTCAAGTTTTTTGACACTTGTTCAGTAAGTACGCCACTCAGCTAAAAGTAAAAACGTACTCAATACTCAATATATTTATTGCTTCCATAATACATAGTAGGTAATATAGGTGTTACAGTGTGATAGTACAGTTAATTATGGACCCTGTTGGGCGCTGCAATATAAAATATAAAATATAAGAGAGGAGGCTTTTTTAATTATTAGATTAATAGACTCATCTTATTTTATCATCTAGATACCTATTCTTTTATAGTGTAATAACATTTTGTACTTAAAAGCTCTTTTAGTTCTTTTGAGAATTTGTTATCATTATTTTCTTTCAATAGATAATTGGGCAATTTATTATAAATCTTTATGGCCATATTATAAGTACTTGAAGAGGATAAATTGAACGTAAAAACTGTTAAGGCTGTAACTTGTTCAGTGCGCCACTTAACTAAAGGCTGCGAACCTGGTTTTCAGTGTGCCCCTTACCGAGAGAGAGTCACAAGTAACCTAAAGACTGCTGTGACAGAAAAAAAATCTTCCAGGAGTAAGTATGTGATACATAAAATTTCCTTACCGTAAAAGATACGGGGTTGTGTATCAGGTACAGGTCGACGTACGACTGGTTGAGGCGTTCCAAAGACTTTCGTAAAGCCCCCACCACGTCGCGTTTTTCATTTGAAGCCAACTGAAATAAATGTTAGAGTTAACCATTGCCACACATTCCTGGTAGATAAATAGGTCTTAGCGCTTAACTTAGTCAGTGCCAGAGGTGTAACGCCCGTATTCACAAACATTACTATGAGGTCTCACAGTGCGCGTGGACGCACAGGGTGACACACAAACCAACCACAGAGCTCTATTTAACGCTGTACGCATATTCAAGAATCGTTTGTGAATACGGGCGAAAGTTTGTAGTTACGTTCTTACTTACTTTAGTGACCACAAAGATGTGTTCCCTCGGCACCTTCGTCTTCATCAGCGCTTGTCCCACCTGCTCCTCATTGCGGTACGCGGCTGCCGTATCTATGAGCCGGTAGCCTGCGTCCAGGGCCCAGGTGACTGCATTTTCTACCTCGTTCTCTTCGGCTTCCTTTTGCCCTTTCTGGAAGTGTAATTCTGGTTTAGCGCCATCTAGTGATAGGTATAAATAACATTATAATTAATAAAAGTTACAAGGTTAGTCGTGTTAAAGGAGTCGGAAGCCGTCATCCAGGATAGGAGCCAGGTCATGGTATTTTCTACCTCGTTCTCATCGGCTTTTGACCTTTCTGGAAGTGAAGTGAAAATTAAATGTGGTTTTTTAGCGCCATCTAGTGACAAATCTAAATAACCTAAATCCGTCTTCGGCTTCCTTGTTGTGCCCTTTCTGGAAGTGAAATTCTGATTTAGCGGCATCTAGTAACATACGTAAATAACCTAAATAGTATTAATAGTGACAAGACTAGTAATAGTCGTAGACAATGATATTATATAAAAACAAATCGTAGATAAATACCGCGTTTTGGCAGTTATATGGTAGTTTTTAAATTACCTACCTCGTCAAAACCGAGGAATGTGCCGAGACCAAAAGTAGGTATGGTCTTCCCATCGTTCATGCGAAATCTTGGAGCCTTCCCCCCGTCCATGTCATCGCAATACTGTAACAAATTAAAGATAATAATATTCAATTAAGTAATAAATAAAACTGAAGAAAAGGCTGACAATAGTGACCGAGTTTCTTGCGCTGCTTCTTCTCGGCACTGGCCCATTTATTGTCCCGAAGCAGTGGTAGGGTTAAAGTTATAAGAGCTTTTTAAAAGCATACAAAATAAATGAATTTGAACAGTCAAGCTCATCAATATACTTAACATTGGCTCAACATAGATTTTTTATGTTTCAAAGAAGCTTTGTGAACAACTAGTCAATGTTATAAAGATTTGAAATCTAAACAAAATCAAGTAAAAACTGTAACAAAAATACATTAAACATTAATAGAACGTATATACCTACATGGTACTTTTAATAAACTGTCCAGTTTTAAGAACAAAAGTTAAAAACAACTGTCGAAATATACAAAAGTCGTTATTGATAAAAATATCGTCGTCTCATCATGAGGCCGGCAAATGTTATCGAAGATTTTAGATTACAAATCGCGAAAAATCGATAAAGTGGCGTAAAAAGCGATCGTAGCACTAGGCCATTATAGTATTTTCAGCAGCAAGCACGTCTCCTTTTTTACCCGACTTCAACAAAAGGAGGGTTCTAAATTCGGTTGTACTAGAAACTAGAGGCAAAACACTGGCCAGACCGTTTGGGGAGGCCTAAAAAGTTACTAATGTGAAAAAAAGGTTACCAAAAAATAACGTGTTATTAAACAAGACAAACAAAGAGTGAATACTTAAGTAGGTAGGTATAGGTACCTATAGCTTAATAAATTTGAAAAGTAACAGTCATCTCCGCTGGACGCTACAGTTGTAAAAAACTATGAGGTCTCACAGTGCGCGTGGACGCACAAGGTGACACACGATGACGAACCAATTACAGAGCTCTATTATTAGCTGCTTCACTTATACAAGCATCGTTTGTGAGTACGGGCGTATAAGGCATATACCTAAGTAAGTAATTAAGTAGAATAATTAATGATAGATAACATAAATTACTTACAGAACTTTTCAGGAAGCTTGCCACGAGAATTACCCACAGAAACATCTTGTCTCTCCAACCGACAACGGCCGACTACTTACTTAACTATTGATCATTACTTTACCTACCGCTTAACTATAGCAAAAACTATCTATAAAAATAAACCGTAGTTCTTTAAAATAAGAATGACGCCAAATTGGAAGTGTGGGTGTAAGTAGGCCTATCAATAATGACCTCTTGACTCCAAGTTGTTTTGGATAAGTAAGTAAGTAGTTTACAAAATAAAACTGATGGGATTTCCCAAGTAGGTAATTGTATCAATTGTTTTGACATAGCTTTATCAAGCTTATCAACTAAAAATAATGTAAAAATATTACAAAAACACATTAGGTAATGCAATAAAAAATGGATTTGAATTTGGGTAGGTGTCTTTAAATAAATAAATAAATAAAAATAAAAATCATTTATTTTCAGACAAAAGCAGTCAGTCCATTAGTTTGGTTAGTAACAATTTGAACTTAGAGACTAGGTATATTAGCTTATAATATACTTTAACCTACTTTTTATAGCAATTACTTATGATGAACTTTGATAATAGAGAAGACATCCTACCCTTTTTATAATAAAAAGTAACACAAGGGTATTTCCATACTGAACTGCACTAACCAAGTTTTCAATGTTTATTTTTTTGTAATTAGGTTAGCCGCCTACTTACTGTCTATCGCAATAGTATAAATTTTAAAAGTGGCGAATTAAAAGGGAAGAAAGTTTGGGAAACCACAATTTATACCTGAATAAGGGATCTATAAAATTAAATGTACCTATGGTCAAGAGACTCAAACTACCTACATCTGCATAATTTATTTTATTGTAAGTATGTAATCATTATATGAAGGTGAGACTAACTTATTTTAAAAGCAGTAGAAAATAATTTAACCCATTGGTTGCGACTAAAATAAAGTTGTCATTCTATACAGAGTTCAAGTTATTCACAAGGTAAACAGGTTGTTCCTAGGCGCATTGATATTGTTATAGGCATTCTTAGGAACAAAGCTGTCTGTAGCTACTTATTTATTCTATTTATAAGTTATTAGATGCCAATACATAACTAGGAAATTCTTAGATAAGTAGGGAAACATACTAGGCACCTAGCTACTTACTACTACTACACTTATAGTTAAAAGTCTAGAGGTTTGTTTGAATTTGATAAAGGCACTTAAATAAATAAATAAATAAATAAATAAATCGTTTATTTGCTCAGAAACATGGTAACAAAATGGTCGATAGAAAATGTCAAGTCCAACATGTTTTGTCCAGGGTAGGCATGCAAATTTTACAAAATTAGAATCTACATATTAACAATAATAAATTAATTAAAATTGTAGTTTGGCAGGTCATCAACCTTTTTAGTGGGTAGGTTAATAATAAACTTGTCTGTTTTACTTATCTCGGTGACAGCTTTAGGAAAAATATCATACAACATTAATTTCTATAACATTTCTATTTGGCAGGTAATTTTTTGTTAGGATGCACAGATATCCATATCTGTGTTAGGATGTAATGTTATTTATTTTTAATGAAAAATTTCATTTTTAGTTCTAAAAATCTGCTACTATTTTCATACTAGCGACATCTATATTTATGAACTTGTATTGTATTCTGAAAGTTTCACTGCTTTCAGTAAGAAATTCATTAGTACGTAGTTCCGCTACTCAGCACTAGATGTCACTATGCCACGTGCTTTTTTTAGTATATCTACTCAACAACAGATGGCGTTGGCTACCTCAAAACCACGCGCGCCACGTCAAAACCGTGCAAGATTTTATCTTGGCAATGGGGATGTTGCCTGGGTCAAAAAGCAAGAGTTTTAATTAGTCCGTCAGTTAACTTATCAAAAAATACTCTACTCGTATTTTTCACTTTTTCAAACTAATGAAAATTTAAAGAGATAAAGCGCCCCAAAGTTCATAAGAAGAGGCCCGTGACGTCAACGCTTGCTTAAAAATGCCGCACGTTGTGACGTCGTGCGCAACTTCAACGCACCATAACTATGTAATTATTTGTTAGATTGACAAATAAAATTATACGTGTCCAATATTTTTTGATATTAAACATTACGGACTAAAAAAATTTTTTTAGGCAACTAGCCTATTGCCATGATAGATTCATATCTGTCGAGAAAAGTAACGACTCACTACAATTTGTGCAAATTATAATCAACTAGAGGTATCATTACTATTAGCTATGATGTACGATCTTTATTAGGAGTGCAAGATTTTATTTGAGTTTTTTTATGGCTATTATACTTACTTTGTAATGCCGTGTTGGTTCGCAATTTATTCTGTGATTATTCTATGAGCTATGATCATTCCCGATTTTGTGGTTTGTGATCGTTAAACAACAGATTATGATTATTTTCGATCGTAATGTTGGTTGTTAGGTTTTTTGTGTACAATTTTGGAACAGTAAGGTGGTTAAATAATTGGCTCACACACTACCGCCGTTATATGACCTAACTAGGTATTATTCTACTGCTGGACTTCTGTATCTTCTTGTCGTGTCGACCACAAACCTAGACAGTGTCAGCCACAGATCTAATCCATATCTGTGGTGTCAGCCCAAAACTCCGCCACAAGAGTGGTGTTGTCAGTAGCCTTCATTAAATCTTTCTGCGTGCAGTTGTTTGGGCACGCAGGGCACGACCATCTATGTGCTTCGTCGACTGGGGAACAAAATCACACTTGCACTCTAAGTTTGAGCTCTTTATTTCCCTGTTACTATCAAACAATAAGGTATGTAATCAAGAAATAAATGTATTAAGTTGCAGTCTAGCATGAAAGCATTATAGAAATATTATCTATCTTCTATTTATTTATTTATTGAGGGATACCAACAATATTACATACAAAGTAATTACATGAAAATCTTACAAATAGAAGTTTGGTGTGTATGCATGCCAATAACAGGTACTTACTTACACACAGCTTTAGCTTAAATAATTTATAATCAAACAACAAAAAGCGCTACTGAAATACGAAAAATGCTAAAATTATAATAAATAATTACTCAATACTCAATCGTTTATTGCTAAATCACATTAGCACATTCCTCCGATTAGTCCAGTCAATGAATGCCTTAACGACGGTGTAGAGAGAAATCCATGGAACACAATTTCTGACCTCGGGACTTTATTTAGCCTAGTTAGGTGGTGAACATAGCAAAAGTCCCCGCCCTTAGCCCTTGAGCCGGCGGGGAGAGGGGGGTTTAAAGGTACCACTTTTCGGTTTTTCGCTTAATCCTCGGAAATTATGCGTCCTAGTGACATGACTACTATGAACCAAAAAAAGCTTATTCAATTTGCTACAGGTGAGACAGTCAAGTTTTTCTATATCTTGTATAGTTTTTGCGGCATCTGCTCTAGAAGGTCTGTAAAATTGGAAATTTTATTGTTGTCTTACATGTTCCTTTCAAGAGAAAATCGACTAAATCAACATTGAGCAAACACTATAGACATGCGGGAGCATGTTAAGCCTAGTTCCATGGAGGGGACTGCACCGTGCGTATATTTAGACGAACCAATTAGAGCCACTTTTGACTCCTCATCATTCAAAAACTACTGTGCATTAACACTTCAAATTTGGCTCATGTATTGAGACTTGCAAGATGTACATCAGCTTCAAATTTCATAAATATACCTCAAACGGTTATTTAGGTATTGACGTTCAAAAATCGATATTTAGAGCACTACTATCTATCTATCACATGTGAAATGTTAAAATTTACTGGTTTTTTATTTGTTCCTTTGTATTTACATAACTACCTTTCTGGATGCCAAATTTGAACCTTCGAGGTCATCTGGAAGTGGTTAGAATTTGGTCTATAGGTCAGACATGTAGATTTTTGGACGTCAATATCTAAAGAACCGTTTGAGGCATATTTATGAAATTTGAAACTGATGTATATCTTGCAAGTCTCAACACATGAGCCAAATTTGAAGTGTTAATGCACAGTAGTTTTTGAGTGATGAGGACTCAAAAGTGGCTCAAAGTGATTCGTCTAAATATACGCACGGTGTAGTCCCCTCGCTGGAACTAGGCTTAACATGCTCCCGCATGTGTAGAATGATTGCTCAATGTTGATTTAGTCGATTTTCTCTTGATGGTAACATGTAAGACAAAAATAAAATTTCCAATATTACAGACCTTCTAGAGAAGATGCCGCGAAAACTATACTATTTATAGAAAAACTTGTCTATCTCATCTGTAGCAAATTGAATATGCTTTTTTTGGTTCAAAGTAGTCATGTCACTAGGATGCATAGTTTCCGAGGATTAAGCGAAAAACCGAAAAGTGGCACCTTTAAACCCCCCTCTCCCCGCCGGCTCAAGGGCTAAGGGCGGGGACTTTTGCTATGTTCACCTCCTAACTAGTCTAAATAAAGTCCTGAAGTCAGAAATTATTGTGTTCTACAGTTTTCCATCTATAATGCTTTATTGACTGGACTAGATATGATCTGAGGCACATTCACATTAGGTCTTACAATTTAAGCAGTTACTTATACAATGTGCAATTTACAATATCTTACGTAATAAATACAGAAATACTTCTCGAAACTTGTTACCTACTATTATGTATTGCAATTTAGATATAAGAATACTTAGTTATAGACCCCCGAGATGGCAAATCTTCGACTATTTTTAATTAATTTATTAATTACAAACATAATCTCTTTATTATATTACCAGAATCAAATTTATTATTTTACAAACATCATTATTTTGAAGGTAAAATAAGTTTAGTGAACTTACGAAAGCTCTCGCTCTCTTGTGCTCATAAGATCAAACGCCCTTATTCAAAAACGATGCTTGCATAAGTGACGCATCAAATCGAACGCACAGCGTTGAATAGTGCTCTGTGGTTGGTTCGTATCACCCTGTGCGTCCACGCGCACTGTGAGACCTCATAGTAATGTTCGTGAACACGGGCGAAAACAAAGCGCACCTCTTCCAGGCGATTACACTAAATTCCGGAGTCACGGACTCAAATATACAAAAGTGACTCGCGAAAAGTGTGTTTAATTAAAAAAACTCCTCCGACAACAGTTTTTATCTTTGTTTTATGAGGAAGT